GCCGATAAAATTATTTAAATTAACACTTTAATTTTTTTTACACAAATTAAAACTTAAAACACTAACAATTAATCACACTGATTCACTTTATTCCGTTCCGAAGCTTCGCTTGTCTCGCCAAATTCAATACTTCCCCGATCGCACCTTGCAGCGCCTATAAATACACATTAGTACCTAATCATCCAAATAAATACATAAATACATAGTAAATACGCGCAAAAATCGACAAAGCGCCGAAAATTCGAGAGTCAGCTTCCAGAAGCATAGTTCTTCGTTTCGACAACAGATGGCGCTGTCGGTTGAAAGATTAGTGATGTCATTTTCTGGAAAGCTCTCCCCCTCGCTCCGTTACCCGACACTAGATGGCACTAGTGCCAGATGTCAACTTAGCCGCGCAACAGTAATAATAAAACTAGGTATAAAATGCATAAACTGCAAACCTCTTCAATGTGATAGTTGGTACTCAACGGTGTAAACAAATTCGAAAAAAAGCGTTTAGCTAGATTAAGGTGTTGTTTTCTAACCGATATATTTAATATTGAAATATTTTAACACAAAAGTAGGTATATTTATTTGTGTCACTTGTTAGGTTTGCAGCTTTTTCAATCCTAAATTACTCATGGGTATGCTTAAATATACATAAATTATAATTCCAGGAAGTTTGACTTACGATTTTTCAGTAGTTATAGCTCAAAGTTGCCAGTGATGACATATGGAACTGAGACGTGGTCCTTTACTGCTGGCCGTATGAGGACGCTCAAAGTCGCTCAGCGAGCTATGGAGAGGGCTATGCTCGGAGTTTCTCTGCGTGATAAACTTAGAAATGAGGATATCCGCAGTAGAACCAGAGTGACCGACATAGCCCAACGGATTAGTAAGCTGAAGTGGCAATGGGCCGGCCATATAGCTCGAAGAACCGACAACCGTTGGGGAAAAAAGGTTCTCGAGTGTCAGCCTCGTACCGGTAGACGAAGTGTAGGGCGAACCCCCACTAGATGGAGTGACGACCTGGTAAGACATGCAGGAAGTCGATGGATGCAGGTGGCTCAGGACCGTGCTTTGTGGCATACTTTGGTGGAGGACTATGTTCAGCAGTGGACATGTAAAGGACTGTAATGATGATGATGATGATAGCTCGAAGAACCGCGCGCGCGTGTTGTCACTCTGTCTGCCTGGACGCAACTGAAGCGCAGTATACCAACCGCGAGCCCCACTTCACCCCGCACAACTGCCACTTGCGCCTGCCCATTTTTCGTAATACTACGCTAAAAAGGCACATCTACGCAGAACAGTCTTTTCTTCTTATGACCATGCAGAAGTGTCTTTTCATTTTATGATGAATTAAATATTTTGTAAATAAATAAGACGCTTCTACTAAAATGCGTTTTTTCAACTTAGTGGACTTCAGAAACGTCTTTTCTATTTAGTAATATTTGATTCATATCGCAGATGCGTCTTATTTAACAGTAAGATTTATAGGGTTCCGTTTAATTTATGCGAAATATAAAAATACTGGTGGATGTCATTTTTTTTACTGATTTAGAACATTTAAGTAACTCCATTTCGAAAAAAATGTTAGATACGTCTTTTTTCCTTATGGCGGCAGTATTGATCATATCCTGGACAATGTATCATACTATCATTCTCTTGACCTATGCCTACCTCTCAGAGTAATGACTAACATAGAAGAAATCCTAAAATAGGAAGAAAATTCTTGAAGTTGAACTCTTTATACACGTGACGTTTTACATGGTACAAAATAAAACAGCTATATTATTCTCACCTTCTTTCTTTTACAAGGTTGTTGCCGTGTTTTCATTCAATAGACACCTCCATTGATGTGCCATTAGCGAATCAAAAACGTTGTCGATAAATTAATGTAGTCTATGACTTATTAAAATTAAGGAGTTTGCTCAATCCGGTTGGTATTGCGGGGGTGGTCTGAAAAGAACAAGATTTTTTTTCTTAAAATTTATTTTTATATTTCTACATCGTTTCCTTGTAACTCTTTACACTTCTCCCGGCGATGCTTCCATCTCTCTAACCAGTCCAAACAGTACCCGGCGTTTTTCTCTGCAAAATAATTGTTCATGAAGGTGAGCCTTCTCATTTGACGAAAATCTCTGTCCTTCAAGCGCAGCTCTTGTAATATTTTTGAAAATAATCGATTAAGATAAGTCCACGACTATCTCAAAAAACATTTGCCATTACTTTCCCAGTATTTTTTTTTGAGGCGTATTATGGTGTATTCAAGTTTTATTTACAGTATTTGGGCGCTAAATCTTGTGTTATTAACACGTTTTGCTTTAAAATGAGCAAACGTGGCATCCAACATCTGATAGTTTTCTCATACCTAAATCTTGATTTAATATGTGACAAACACGTTCTTTGTAAATTTTCATGGCCTCTACTATCTCTCTCACATTAATTCAGCGTTCGATCAGCACCATTTGGTAAACTTTAGCGATGTTATCGTCAGTAGATGAAGTTTTTGGACGTCCCGAACGTTCATCATCTCCCAAGCTCTCACGGTAACGTTTTAATTCAGCTGCCCAAAATTACACTGGTAAATAATGATGCAGAGCCCCCATACACAGAGTTCAACTCATCTTTGATTTGCGCAGGCGTATCGCCTTTCAAAAACAAAAATTTAATGACAGCTCGAGACTGAATTTTTCCATTTTCACAAAAACACTCACATCGACTCATTCAAACGACTGTCAAATAACAACTACACTAGGCGTGTGTAATTTTACGGAACTGACTCACTGATTCGAATCACTGAAGTGATTCAAAAGATTGGTTCAGTAACGTTTCAAATGCATCATTTGGATCTGGATCTGGAACATTACTTTGCTCTGCTCTGTGTCATTTAGCGCGACACGTCTCGCTCGCGAGGTGACTGAGCCATGAGCGAGAGAGTGGCGAGTGCGCGTGCGAAATAATTACAATCTATACAAGTCAGAAAGAGATAACAAATGATATGTGTATCACTCAACTCGTACGGATTTTCGATATAGTTATTCATGCACGTAAAAATGACCATTAAGGCGCTTAGTAGCAAATACTATACGGTCGTCTTTTGCATATAATGTTTGCATTAAAAAGTTGTCATTTTACGTTGATCCGGTACTTGTCAATTTGTTTATGTTCGTTTGCGCCTGTTTACGAAAACATACTGATTTCTGTTTAGGATTTCCTTGCGTAGTGATTATTGTGACTTACTTTCTTCCTTTCATCATAAATAATACGCCAGCTGGGCATAAATTAAGGACTAGCCGTCCTCAGTCTGGATAAAATATAAAGGAGGATCGATTTTATACACAACCTTATTACGGTATACAATAAATAACAATAACTATATAATATATAATAATAATAACCTAAGCACTTATATCATTCAGCATTGTTGCCACATAACATTTCACTGAATCAATCAGTAATAAACGCCCGCGACGCAATATAATGTATTCATAACATTCTGCATTTTATATCTTTTGAGTCGATGATCCAAATGAGCCAAATGAAACATATCAGTGTTTCGGAACATTTCAGTAATCGAGATGCAAATGTTCCAATCGCAAAAATGATACACTTTGCGCACCTCCAAACTACACGGCTAAAATGGTGAAAAGTTGGTGTATAACTGTCAAAAGATGCAAAACTACATTCACTACATTCACTGGCTGCAATCTTCACGTTGAGGTCAGAAACTTTTCAGACTCACCTGGTATTTATTTATATTAATGATCGTTAATAGAAGCTTCATCTGGCATCTTACAAAAAAAAAACTTCTAAATTATTCAAAATTTTAAACCTTCAATTTCGCATTGTTCTCAAGTTCATCGATTATGGGTTCATTGACATCGATTTTCAACATCGATGATCAACGAACATCGAACATTAACCAATCATCAAGTATCCCTATTTTATTTTATCAACTATTAAGAGTTATCTGTTGTTAGCAGCTATGTTTGTTAACAGATATGGGTAGGAAAGAATATCGATAAAGACTATAGACAAGGAACTCGACAACCCTACTGAATTTTATTGCTTATCAAAACTCAGTAATACACAGCCAAACATGTTGATAAATATGATATTAAGATTAGTAACAAATTTTTAATTACTTATATTATGAAATAGTTTTAATTTGTTTAATATTAGCTGCAAATTCACTTACTTGTGAAATGTACACTCGCATACGTACACTCTCATTGTTATTAAAAATAATTCTTATTATGTAATTAATATTATACACAATCAAACAACATAAAATACTTTCGTTTTTTAGTTTAAAAGTTCAAAATACAGATTTTTAAATATGACAATTTAAATAAGACAGCAGACTTTGGCATATTGTGTCAATTTTAGTTTCCAAGACGATCGTTAGGAGTGCTTCAAATTGGCACAGACATTTTGTATGATATAGCTAGTCCAGCGTAGCGTACTTGTATATATAGAGATCAGTGCCGTAGACGGATTGGTGCTCCTGTTTGTCGCTTAAATAATGGTTTGAAGTTGATTTTGATTCGTAAATGTGATGCGATTTTGTGAATTAAGTATCCGCGCGTATGAACTATTAGAGAAAACGAAACAAGTGCCTTAATGTCGATATAAACCTCAAGTTATTTTGATCGCTTTGGCGCCTTACTTGAGTGGCTGTCGTCATCAACTGTTCGCAGGGTTGAGCTGTCGTTAAAATCTCCCAAGAACTTCGCAATGTGACGTATCAACATATTGTGAATAAAAAGAATATAAAAATGAAGATTCCGAAAGAAATGAAGGGCTAGAACCCAGAGCCGTAAAGCCAGTTTAATAAAAAAAAGCCATGCTTGAGTTCAAGAAGTCAGTAATCTTGGTTCAAGGCAAAGAGTTCAATCTGATTCATTTCATTTCATGACTTGATATAACAACAAATCAGAATCAAACAAACAAAAGTTTTGCAGAATTCACATACCTGGAACAAAATAAATGCGCTACATGCTCATATATAAACGATGCCTACAACAAGAAAAAAAGTAATAAAAACAGTTTATAAAGATGAAAATGACAGCGAAGATGGTGACTTCAGCGACTCTGGTTCCGAAGCAGAAATATCAGCTGCTCCTAGCTCCGACGAAGATGATAATGAGGAAGCATATCCATCCTCAGATGACGATTTTGTCAGAAATTCTAAAAAACACTCAAAGGATTTTAAAAAGAAAAAGCCACAATTTGCCAAAGCTTTTATCAATAAAATAAATAAACAAAGCAGTGTTGATAATGAAGAAGAAGAAATACCGGTATCTAACTTTTCTGTTAAGGATTTAACTGAAGCTGATAAGTTACTGCCTTCATTTCTTAATCTCTCAGAAAGTGGTAAGTAGTAAAATTTCAATATTCATTATATTCAATCATTTTCAAAAGTCCACCGCTGATCAGACCTCCCCCTGATAAATTTCCTCATAAATGCCATGGTTGCCACGCAGTTGCAGATAGGTTGGCAACACAGTTTTTATTATTTTGAGCACTATGCATCTCTTCAGTTTTCTTCTGCCACCTCTTATGACAACATGTGCTGACGGCATAAGGAAAGCCCATATCAAAAAAATAACTGATTTTTCTAAAAGTGAGCTGCTTATTTGACAAGGCTCTATTGACTGGATGATGGCAGAAAATCCATCCAAATATAGTGAAAAACGAGTCTGTTTGAAACAGCATTATCATTGTAGTCTATGTGCTTATCAACCTGTGCTACCTTAATTTGGTACGTACAGTATAATCTCACTAATCCAGCACTTCAATAGACCGACATGTCCAATAATCCAGCACCCTCCATTCGGTTTGAGGGGATCGGAGAAACAAAGTAAATTATGACAGGAAGAAATATATGGGGTTGGATTTAGAATCATTTGGCAGGAATTTGGGGGAGTAAGGAGTAAGGTGGTAGAGGTTTGGTCCCCGATTATAATAATACCACTCACATTAAAAGGTAATGCACCATTATCAAAAAAATAAATAAAATCTCTTATAACCTAAAATGCGTAAAACATGGAAAAACATGCAATATTAGTGTGAAAACTGGATAGCATACAGAATTTTATGTAAGTGTGACAAGGGCGTAAGACTAGTGTCATATTGCATGACATACTAAATTTTATGCATTTAGCCGTTGGTTGCTCTTCTTGCATGAATGTGTGCTCTTCAGGGTATTAATGTAGCTTGAATGTGCTCCCTAACGTTTTTATCTGCCTCTGGCTGTTTTTTGACGACTTTGCTACCAATCTGGATCCTTTTTTACAAAAGTAAATATTTTGGTCTTTGGTAGATCGAGCGAAGCAAGCTCGGGACTTAGGGCATCTCGACTCGCACAGGTTAGGTTAGAAGTTCTGTTCACTCGCTTCGCTCACTCACTCGACCCTGCCATCCCCTTTGTGGTTATTTTTTCATAAACCACTCGAAGTTCGAAGTATGAACCTCTCTCAGGCTTATGAAGCTCCTACGGGCTTCCCTCGACTGCAGACCTCAATTAACAATTATTTTATACCTATGTAATTACATTATGTATTCTCTCTATGAAATGCTTTATTTTATTCATTATGATTTTATCTCTATAATCCAGTAATCCAAACATACCAATAATCTGGCACCCTCTGGTTTTTAATAGTGCCATATCAGTGAGATTATACTAAATGTGCAATTATTTTAACAAAGTATGCTTTATTGGCATAAACAATGAAGAAAGTAGAGTAGCAGCCTCTTACCATTAAGCAAAGTGTAAGTTGCCCCCTCTCCCCACCGTATAACCTAGTAAAAGATGCAAGAAGTTGATGTTTGGGATAGGATCTTGCTCTGTGGCCTTCCTTGTGGAAGACTTATGTTCGGCAATAGACACGAGGACCTGTGGTGATGATGTTTTGTGCTGCATTTTGGAAAAGGTCTTAAAATTACAAGTTTCACATAACTTTCATCTCCTTTTCAGACAGCAGTGATGATGAATCTCCAAAAGAACCTGCAACAAAAAAGGATGTAAAATCAGGAGCTTTACCAAATAGTTTTGGATTGGATATAGATGATAATGAAGCTATTGTTGAATATAAAGATGTTAGTATCTCTTTGTCAGTATGAAAACTCATGCTATTCCATTACTCTCTCAATAACAAGTGGTAAAATTAAAAATTTTGTACAATCGACTTCATTATAAATAAAATAAGAACATCATCAATATATTGGAAGTCAATTAAATATGTATTATTAAGGATAACTCAAAAACTTTGTTAACAAATTTATAAGGGACCACATGGGAAGCCAGCTTTAAAATAAAAAAAGAATCATCAATGATGAGACACTAAAATAATTATAGTGTAGAATATTTCTACTACATGAGTTTTGGTGTAAAATAGCTAAAGGATTATCTAATATATAAAAATTAATCTTTGGTTGTTCATACATCATGTGCTGCCATACCATTTGTCAGATTGCGGTAAAACTGTGTCAGCTTATTGCTTGCACTTGCGCGAAGGTAATAGGCATTGTACAATTCACTTACAGTAGGTGGTGCACGTATACCAACAAATTTATTTGAATGTTATTTATATATCATTCAACTTCAATGGATGTATTATCATACCTAATAAAAATAATATTTTCAAAATTATTTCTTCTGCGGCAGCAATTCGAAGGGTACCAACTAGCACTATATAGTTTTTCGGTTATATTATATGTTGCTACATAGATAATTTGTGTATGCATAAGGTATGTTTATAGGTTGCTACATTCCTTACTTTTTTACTGCTTAAGTGTGGATTGAAGTTCCATACAGATTATTTAAATTTCTTATATTTGCAGGCAGTCCCATGATGTTTTCCTTTAATGGCAAGCATTGACTAAAATTTGGTACTTAAAATTGCAATACACAATTTAACTGTGGTTGCCAACCCGCTCGCCAAGCGTGGCAACTATGACAAATATCTCCTCATGAGTAACGATGCAAACAAACAGCCCCCAGTCTCCGGCGGCCTCACTATCGCTGGCTACGGTGGCGACCATGGTAACGGCGGGGCAGGAGGTGCTAAGAATCTCCGGTGGAGGTTCGGTTGCCACCTACAACCTCTCGACCTGACAACGTATAACGCACGCACCCTGAGGACTGATGAGAAGATACTGGAGCTGGACGAAGAGGTAGACAAGTTGCGCTGGCATATTATTGGATTATCCGAGGTCCGAAGAGAGGGGGAGGACACGGTAATCCTCGAGTCCGGCAACTTGTTCTATCACCGGGAGGTGGCCACCACCTGTCCCAAGGAGGTACGCGGATTTATCGTCCACAAGTCTCGTCAATAACGTTGTAAAGATTGGGCGTGTGTCGATGAGGGTCGCGTACCTGCTACTCAGAATCACCAAACGGTATTCGCTGAAGGTCATACAGGTTTACAGAACAACCTCGGTACATCTCGATGAGGAGGTGGAGGAAATGTATGAGGATATTTCCAGAGCCACGCATTCATCCAAAACCCACTACACGGTGTTGCTGGGAGACTTCAACGCAAAACTAGGCGCAAGAGAAAATGGTGAGCTGAAGTTAGGGAAATTTGGAGTAGGGCCACGGAACCGAAGGGGCCAGCAGCTGGCTGACTTTATGGAGGAAGAGGGACTCTTTATGATGATCTCTTCTTCCAGAAGCGGCCCCACAGGAAGTGGACCTGGTGGAGCCCCGACGGTTCGACAAAAAATGAGATTGACTTCATTATGACGACCAGACGCCAACTGTTCGGTGATGTTTCAGTGATCGGAGGGGTGAAAACTGGCAGCGATCACCGAATGGTTAGAGGCACACTGAACCTAAACGTTAAGTTGGAGAGGTCTCGTCTAATGAAGTCAACGATCCGTCCCCCTCATGCTCTGATCCAGAATCCCGAAACCGTTCAGCTCGAGTTACGTAACCGCTTTCAGTGCCTAGAAGATTGCAATGCAGTGGATGATATGAATGACAAGCTTGTGGAAACTGTCCATGCGGTCGGAGCTAAGTTCTGCAATACCCGCCGCAGAAGAACACAAAAACTCTCCGATCATCCTCTTAATCTCATGACTGTAAGACGGGACATGAGGTTGCAATCGTCAACAGATTTGACAGCATACAGGCAACTGAACAGACAGATCTCGAAATGCATGCGGCGAAACTTACGTAACTTTAATAATGCTCGCATTAAAGAAGCTTAAAAACGGCAGGGCCCCAGGCGAGGATGGAATTACAGCGGAGCTTCTGAAAGCGGGTGGAACACCGGTACTTGAAGTCCTTCAGAAGCTCTTCAATTCCGTCCTCCATGGTGGCACTACTCCAGAGGCGTGGAGCAGAAGTGCGGTGGTCTTGTTCTTTAAGAAAGGCGACAACGCTCTCTTGAAGAACTACAGACCGATTTCCCTTTTGAGCCGCGTCTACGTGCTATTTTCGAGAGTCATTACGAATTGTCTCGCACGCAGATTCGACGACTTCCAGCCTCCCAAACAAGTCGGTTTCCGAAAAGGCTTCGGTAACATAGACCTCATACATACCCTGCGGCAGATTGTACAGAAGACCGAAGAGTACAATCTGTCACTTTGCCTGGACTATGTGGACTATGAGAAAGCCTTTGATTCCGTCGAAATTTGGGCGGTGCTACAGTCCCTTCAGCAGTGCCAAGTTGACTGTTGGTATATCGAAGTGCTGAAGTGTTTGTACAGTAGGGCTACGATGGCTATCCGAGTACAGAACCTGAGTACGAAACCTATCCAACTGCAGAGAGGTGTAAGACAGTGTGACGTTATTTCCCCGAAATTCGTCGAAGTCGAAGACGTTTTCAAGCTACTGGACTGGAAAGGATACGGTATTAACATCAATGGCGAGTACATCACTCTTTCATATGTATGCTTCGAAAAGCATGTAGAGCCGTTGTTCCTGTGCACATTTTCTCAGGTCGTTTTAAATCGCTACAGATTTTTTTTAAACGTAACCCTACTCTAGGATTTACTTTTATATCATGGAAGAAATTTACATTCATAAATTGCTTACACACTCATGCTCTCTAAACCTATTTTGTGCAGACGGATAGTCTCCGTTGAGAATGAAATGAGAAAGATCAAGAAGAAGAGAAGAAGCAGAAAAATCTTTTATATTTTAAATAAATGGATTTCATTCACCTTCGATTTGCCGACGATATAGTCCTTATGGCAGAATCGCTGGAGGACCTTAGCACTATGCTCAATGACCTCAATAGTGTCTCCCAACGGATAGGTCTTAAGATGAACATGGACAAAACAAAGATCATGTTTAATGTCCATGTCGCACCTATGTCGGTAGTTGTTGGGAGCACTATGCTCGAAATTGTTGACGAGTAAGTTTACCTGGGACAAATAGTCCGACTAGGTAAGTCCAACTTCGACCGAGAGGTCAATCGATGTATTCAACTTGGCTGGGTAGCGTTCGGGAAAAGACGACACATCTTCTCGTCAGTTACACCTCAATCTCTGAAAATTAAAGTGTACAACCAGTGCATGTTGCCAATGATGACTTACGGCTCTCAGACGTGGTCCTTCACTGCTGGCCGAATGAGGACGCTCGAGGTCGCTCAGCAAGCTATGGAGAGGGTTATGCTCGGAGTTTCTCTGCGTGATAGACTCAGAAATGAGGATATCCGCAGTAAAACCAGAGTGACCGACATAGCCCAACAGATTAGTAAGCTGAAGTGGCAATGGGCCGGCCATATAGCTCGAAGAACCGATAACCGATGGGGAAGAAAGGTTCTCGAGTGGCAGCCTCGTACTCATAGGCGTAGTGTAGGGCGACCCCCCACTAGATGGAGTGACGACCTGGTAAGACATGCAGGAAGTTGATGGATGCAGGTGGCTCAGGACCGTGCTTAGTGGCATTACTTGGGGGAGGCCTATGTTCAGCAGTGGACTTGTGAAGGGCTGTAATGATGATGATGAAGTATTTTTTTATAGAGGTAAAGATGACAAATCGGCCCTCATGATAAGTGAATGTTGTGACCCAAAGACATATACTTGATTAAGTATCAAAATGTGTCACCCCTTAGGACTAAGATGAAATTTCTAGTTCCCATTGAAAAGGGTCTCTTATCTCACCATACTGCAGTCATAATATGCTGCAATGTGGCTCAAACAGATATACAGACTTAAAGATTTGGGCAGATAATACAATATTTTGATATTGTTGTATTTGATCTTGATAACCTAGTATACACAATTGATGCTTATTTTAATTTTTATCTATTTAAACTTATAGTTCTACAGTTTTTTCAAGAAAACAAAGTGCTTTGCCAGCTCCCAAATTGAATGTTATTTATGGGCAGCAACATTTTTGCTTTCCGATTGACCCTTATGAATGTGTGCATGCATAGTAAAATTTGTTAAAATAATGCATTACCACGCATTTTGAATTTAAAAGATAAAATGGGCATAATGTTTGAGATTTTATCTTAATATAAATATATTTTATCTTAATATAAGGTATGGATGGTTCAGACATTTATATAATATCTATATAAATATCTGAACCATCTGCAAATTTTATTGCAAAATAACTCTGTATAGACTATAGACACTGACACAAATGTGTACTGTTTATTATAAGCATGTGTTTGTTACTTCTTTTTTACTTAATATACACTAAAATGAGAACCTTTTTCTATATACCATAATAATGATTATCAGGTGTGGTCCAATAATGAAAAAGATGCAAGTGAGGAAATTGCAAAGAAGACTTTTTTGGAACTGGAACAGCACAAGGCAAAGATTGAAGAAGCAAAAAAGTCAGTCTTAAATTATTCCTCTTATAAAAATGAAGAACATGAATCAGATGTTAAAGACCTCCTTGCACAAGGGGAGGAGGTTGAACCAGAACCAACAACTATTAAAAAAAGAAAGAAGAAAAAACCACAAGATCAAAGTGACTCAGAATTAGATGACTGGGAAGAAGTAAAAGGTACTTTTTTGGAATATATTTTTTTTAATAATTTAAATTACTAACTAGCTCTTCCGTTACATTCGTCAAATCTGTATTGATCATTAGATTGTGATATTACACAATCAGCATCACTGTTGGATGTGCTGAGTAACAACATTTATTGCCCAGTTGGTTGGCTTCCTGATCACGAGAGCCATACTAGCTAAGTTCTTGCTGTAAATTTCACAGTAATTTTCAACGCTGGGTTATTGCGTAATCCAGATTTGATCCCTGCTGACACTAATGAAGTATTTAATTACTATTATAAGGCAGCATTTACTGCTTGTTCGACAGTGAAGGAAACCAGCATGATGAAACCTGTATGTTTAAGAAATTAAAAAAATATTTTGAAGTCTACCACCACGCCTTTATATAGCGCGCGAACTTTTCCTTGCCCTAAAGCCCTCAGAGGCCAGTGCTTAGCTGTGGAATATATAGAGGGTGTAAAATAATTTAAAAACATCAGATAGTAATAAAAAATGGTACCTTATTTTTTTAGAATAGAATGACAAACGAGCACACAGTCCATGTAATGGTAAGTGTATACTGTGACCCGTAGACATCTATGTCTCCAGTTCTCTACACTAACCATACAAAATACAGCAGCATTGAGCTGCTATTTTACATTGATATTCGGTGAGAGCGTAGTCTTACCCCAGTCGAGCCGACCCATTCGCACTATAACTATAATATAGTGCTAGTGTGGCTCCACCACGTAAAACAAATTAATAAACTTGGACAAAATTTCTAATTGAGTAAGGCCAACTTCATTTAGGCCTTGTTCGAAAATTCGCAATAAAATCTTCTTAACCAATCTAATACAGAAACTTAAAACAAAAGGAAAACCAATCTGTGATGTTAGTGGTGATTTGCGGAATTATAACATTTTACTTTACTGCTGATTTTGGTTGCTTGAAATTTACTGCTCAGCTCTTGAGCTATCATGGCTTTCATGCCTTTAAATGACAGTTATTGTTTAAAATGTCTTGTTTGGCACTGCTCTAATTTCTTTCATATTTTAATAATTAATTTAGCAGAAGTCTAGGAAGCTCGTAAATAAAATAGAAGCTAATACTCACCTTTAAACTAAAACAATAATATTTGCCCCCTACTTATTAGCGGCAAAAATAAGACACCTGCATAAGAGTCCTACTATCAGTAATTGTATTATCAAATTAGTGACTATATAAAGTTTAAGATTTTTTTTAAATGTGAATGTTTACAAATGGTCCATCAGATGGTAAGTGGTTACTGCAGTGCATGGATACCTGCAGCTAATTTCAAAGAATGAAGGCTACAGATGCATTGTCATCTGTCAGGATTAAGATGGAATGCCTCATAGCTTATAGTTATTCTGGCTTTCTGTACCCTTCAGAGCGATACATAGCAGTGTATGCACTGCTATTTGGGGAGGAACATAGCAGTGCAAGCACTGCTATTTGTGGAGGAACATAGCAGTGTATGCACTGCTATTTGGGGAGGAACATAGCAGTGTATTCACTGCTATTTGGGGACAGAAATAGATAAAAGGATGGTACCTACACAGCAAAAGAGTCTTACCACTGAGTTGTCGAATTTAACACATAAATAAAAATTTCAGAAAGTAAAGCAGTTCCTCAACAAGGATTGCAACTAATAGTGGGTATACCAGATTCTATATCTCGAAAAAAGAAAAAGATAGATGTAGAAATGATGATGAAGAGAAAAATGAACAGAGTGAAGAAAGAATATCAAGTTTATATGCATAAAGTTCATGTATTATGCTGGCTAGGCCACGGGAACTATATAAGCACTGTATTAAATGACCAAGAAGTCATGTCGGCCACATTATCATTGGTGCCTTCAAAACAGTGTTATCCTGGCGAAAGAGTAGACATTAAGTATGTGGAACAGATAACCACTTGGTACAAAGATATCTTTACCTTAAAACAGGACAAGCATGAAGGTAAATTTAGACCAAAAGCACCACCCTTAAAAGATATCTTACTACAACAAATTAAAAAAAGAACACTAACATCAAAAAAATATGTGGTTTATTTATTTGTTGCTATGCTTAGAGCAATTGGATTACAGTGCAGGATTATGTTAAACTTTATAACTGTGCCTATTAAACCCCCTGCTTCTGAACTACATTCTCTGTCAACAAAGAATATTCAGGATAAAAATCCTGGTACACAAACTAATACTAAAGACAAAAAGTGTGCAAAAAGAAATTCCAAAAAGGCAACTAACACAACAAATATATCACAGTTAGATGGTAATAATGATCATATTACAGATAGCGATAGTAGTTATGAAAACATCATTCAATTAGATGGCAACAATGATGTGTCAACTGTTAAAACTAGGTCAACTAAAAGTACTACAAAAGAAAATAAAAAAAATCTTAAAAGTTCGCAAGATGCCACAGACGAAGGTGTATCCCCGCCAAAAAGATCTAAGACATCAAGCATAAAATCTGCGAGTGAAGATACCGATTCAAATGCTGCCAAAAATAATATATCTTTAACCCGACGACAGAGACAACCTAGTGATGAAATATGTATAAAAGATGAAAATGTAAATGAGGATAAAAAAGTTACGCCTACGAAAATAAACTCAAATAATCTTAAAAAAAGTAAAAGTGTAAAGAGAATATCTAGGCGTGAAGACAACACTATGAAGCAAGACTCAACATCTAATATATCAAAAATTCCACCTAAAATTGTAGTCACTGCTGAAGAGAAGGAAGATATAATGGCTAGCAAGTTTTTCACAAATGAACAAGCACCCGTAAACAACAAAAACTTGAGATTATCTAGAAAAAGATCTTTGACAGCTAACTCTGGGGTATCAAATGGAAAGAGTACAAATACTGCAGAAAATGCTGCACAGTTTAAAACGAGAGCAAAAAGTACACCTTCCACAGATAGCAATAAAAGCAAATATTTTAAAAGTGATATTGATACTGCTTCGAAAATTAAAAGGCAAAAAACAAGAGCAAAAGAAGTTCCAAAAGAGGAAGACTCAGAAGATGAACTGCGAGTAAGTCATCGAGATCTTTCAAAGAAAAAAGGCAAGGCCAAGAATGATGTTACAGCAGACCTGATGCAAATAATTAAAAAGAGGGTAAAAGAAGCCAAAACAGAATCAAAGCAAGAAATTGTCAAAGGTATAGTATTATATATATATATATATAATTAATAATATTATTATTACATTGTATAAATCCTTTAAAAAATAAGCTTCTATATTTTTGTGTTACATTCATAATCATATTTTTTTTTCATGTGAACACATTTTTTCTCGTTTAGAATGTTTTTGTCTTTTCTACTTTGCCCTATGCTGAGAATAAATAATACTAAATGTTTGTGTCTTATATATTTACTATTTAAGTGTCACAAACACAGTGCTTGATGGTAAATAATCATTCTCCGTCACTCATAATAACTGCAACTACACTGAATTACTGGCATTTTATAATTAGCTATACACTCACTCTTTCTCTCCTCACTCCACCGTAAAAAAATTCGGACTATAGGGGCAGTACTCTATAATCCGACAAATTAGATAGCTTGACACTGCTCTGCAAAATGTTTGTTGGATTACCGGGGGTCCACTGTATAGGTTTTTATTGTATTGGTTTACTTGACTATAATACATCAATGAAGTGACAAATGAGCTAACTGTATGCCTGATGGTAAGTGGGTACTGCAGCCCATGGAGAATTACCTCTAACTTTAAACAAAAAAGGCTGATGGTTTGTAGTCACCTTTTGGGATTTAAATGGAATACCTCAAGGCCTATAAAACTGGCCGTCCAAATCCTTTAAACTAGGACATAGAAGTGTTTCCATTGCTGCTTGGTGGCAGAAATATGTAAGAAAATGAGCTCCTAAAAATAGTCTTATTGCCAATAACAAATAATTTTGATGTTATATGCACTAGATGAAAGTGTTCAGAAAAATCTTAAGCAGATAATGATTGTTAAGTAAAGCTTGCGGAACGTGGACCGTAAGTTGTTGGTAACCGCCGTCGGACGGCTGTCGTGAACCACTACTAACACAAGCATTTTATGCTTGCGAGTACTTATGGTAATTAACATAGAATACTATAATACACAATAGAATGGCTGTCAACCTTATTTTGTACCGAAGTTTGGCGTCGCCGGGAGCACACATAAGAAGTCAAACACGGGAGGAAGTGAGAGATACAAGTGTCGTGCCTTTTTTTGCTTAAAATTTATTGTTTTATTAAGTGTTGTTGATTTACCATAGTAAATTTTTCTGTCTTGGTGGAGGTTTTAATATCTGTAAATTAGTAAGTGTTTGTAGTTGTGCCGTTTTTATGTAATTTTTTGTTGTAGTAATATAATGGAGGACGAACCTCCCGATCCCGGAAGGGTTCGCAATGATTCCTTTTCCTTACCCACTAACATTGATAATGTAGAATTAATTAACCGTAAACGTGCCCAAGTAAGTAACGAGTCTGCCCATCCACAAAAAATAGTTATTACTGATCCAAATCAACAGTTTCCTTCAATACAATCCTCATATACCCATCCTGATTTTATTAATAAAAAAGTTAAGTACTCTCAAGATGATGCCGCTCCTTTTCTAGTTCACGTAAGTAAAATCTCAAATGATCAGCTGTCTGGAGTAACTCTTAAACCAATTAAATTCGGCCACTTTCTGTATCATAACAATATTAAAAATATAGTCCATGATGGAGTCAAAAAAGTTGGACGAAATAGAATATCCGTGGAGTTTAAATCAGCTGCAGATGCAAACACCTTTATCGATCACCCAGCTCTCCAAATTTCTAAATATGAAGCAACCATCCCCTCATATAGTATCACTCGTATGGGGCTAGTTAGACAAGTTCCCATAGAGTGGACACTAGAAGAATTAATAGCAGCTATAGAAATTCCCTCTGGATACGGTTCTATAATTAAAGCACGGCGACTTAATAGACGATCAGTGAGTGACAGCAATAGCGTTTCATGGGTTCCAACTCAGACGGTTGTTCTAACTTTTTCTGGACAAAAACTTCCTCCCCATATTTACTGTTTTTACACCTCAATGCCAGTGGAAAAATATGTTTTGCCACTAATTCAGTGTCATAAATGCTGTAGATATGGCCATGTTACTTCCCAGTGCCGATCATCTCCTCGCTGCTTTGTATGTGCACAGAATCATGAAGGTTTATCTTGTACTCGACAAACTCCTACTTGCCTATTCTGCTCTGGTCCCCACACCGCAAAAGACCCTACATGTCCTGAACATCTAAGGCAAAAATCTATTAAACTTGTTATGTCACAAGAAAATATTTCATATTTAGAAGCTTCAGCTAGATTCCCTCAGACAAAAAGATCCTTTGCTGATACAACAAGAATCCAGCCTCGTAATTGTTCTCAACAGACCCCTTATACTATAACTGACAGTCTTTCAACCCCTTCGGCTCAGCTCTCACAAACTGCATCATATAAAAAAACAATTTTTATCCCTCAACGTACCCGCAGCCCACCATTAAATTCTGGATATGATATGGCAGCCCATCAAGCAATTGTTGAGAATCCTAATTCTTCCCTTCCTAATGGGTGTGCTCTACTGGGAAATGACAACAACTCCTCTAGTAATGATAATTTCTGCGAACTTATGATATCAATTCTAATTAACATGATCTCCCGTTTTAGTGACACGGAACTTCCTCTCAGCTTACACCAAAAACTTACTCAGCTTTCCTCCTTAGCCCGTAACATTCGCAGTCCCGCCAATTCTTCAATGGAATTGTCGGAGTATTAGAAATAAAAAAAAATGAACTCATTTACCTCATTAACAAATTTCATCCCTTCATTCTTGCCATCCAGGAGACATGGCTTAGGCCTGAATCTCATTTTAGGGTTTCAGGCTATGCATGCCTCCGGGATGATAGGAGTGATGGTCGTGCTGGCACCTCTATTTTAATTTCAAGAACTGTTACATTTTCACAAATTCCTCTCCCTTCTCATAGTCCAGCAGTAAATGCTGTTGCTATTAAGGCCCTTGATGTCTCTATTCTCTCTGTTTACATTCCTAATCCTGATGTAAATGTTTTAACAGAACTTGCAACACTTATCTCTTCTCTGTCACCTCCTATGGTTATTTTGGGAGATTTTAATATGCATCATACTGTTTGGGGCTCCCATCTGTGTGATTCACTGGCTCCCTTATTTTTAGATCTTATTGATAATTTTAATCTCTGTATTCTAAATGATGGGTCTCCTACCCGTCGAGTATCCCCATTACAAAATGTTAGAAGTGCCGTTGACCTAACTCTCTGCTCTCCAGATATTGCTTCCCTTCTTTTGTGGCAAATATTACCTTCTAGCTATGGCAGTGACCATTTTCCTATATTCATCACTCCTCCTACTTCACCTAGAATAAATTTTACATTTTGCCCAAGACTAAAGTATAATCTATCCAAAGCTAATTGGCAATTATATTCTAAAGTCTTGGAACAAGAGGTTTCAACTCTTCCCCCAATTAACAATGATAATATTGCTACTGTATATATAGAGTTCAGAAATGCAATTATTTCTGCTGCTAATAAGTCAATCCCCTTAAAAAAACCTTTCAAAAATAATTATCCCTCCCCTCCTTGGTGGGACCAAGATTGTTCAGCAGCTTGTAGGAGAAGAAAAGAGGCTGAATTAATATACTCCCGTTCTATGACTGCAGAGAATTATATCTCTTATAAAAAAATTGCTGCAGAAACCTTAAAATTACTGTCAGACAAAAAGCGAACTGGTTGGTTTAAATTCTGTGAGTCACTGTCACCTAGGACTCCCCCATCTTTGGTCTGGAGAAATGTTAAAAAATATCGCTGTGCAGTTTCTAGTGAAAATATAATTTCTAATGATCCTTCCCCGTGGATAGATGAATTCTCTAATAAACTTGCACCACAAACAGTCCCATCTTATGATGAATGCCTAGTTTTTAATTCTGCTTTTTTAAAAACAAATGATAAATTTGATTCCCCCCTTTTCTTCTCAGGAATTGTTTACTGTACTCAATGGCCTTAAAGACTCCTCACCAGGTATTGATGGGATTCCTTATTCGTTTATAATTAATAGTAGTGAGAACACTAAAACTGTCTTACTATCCATTTTAAATTTTATTTATATTACTGGTGATCCTCCCGCTGAATGGAAAACCCAAATTATTTTGCCCATTCTCAAACCAGGTAAGTCTAGCAATGACCCTTCCAGTTACCGACCTATTGCCCTATCTTGTACTTTGGCAAAAATCTTGGAACATTTAATAAAAAATCGCTTGGAGTGGTTTTTGGAAAGGAATAATCTCTTACCTAAAAGCCAATTCGGTTTCCGAAAAGGTTTAAGTACCATGGATAGCCTAAGTACCTTGGTCACAGATATTCATATTGCCTTCTCAAAACATGAATTTCTCATAGGAGTTTTCTTGGATATTTCTTCCGCATGTGATAATGTGCTTCTTCCTGGCTCAGGCAGAAAATGCTTAATCTGAGCATTCCAGTGAGGATAGTCAATTACGTCTCTAACTTTCTCTCTTCTAGATCAATATCTATAAATGTTAAAAATCTCCTGCTTCCCCCAAAAACTATATGGAAAGGACTTCAACAAGGCTCAGTTCTTAGTCCTCTCCTTTATTCTATATATACTCACGATTTAAAACTTTCAGTAAATTCTTTTTGTAATGTTCTTCAATATGCAGACGATTTAGCTCTATACATCTCCTCAAACAACTTCACAGTGGCATGTTCCCGTCTAAACTCATCCATGGATTATTTACAAGAATGGTTAACTAATCATGGCCTCTCTTTATCTGTGGCCAAGAGTAGTGTGGTGATCTTTTCCCGCCAAAGGCGAGTTCCCGATATATCTGTTGTATATGATAAGCAACCTATTCCAGTTAGAGGCAATGTTAAATTTTTGGGAGTTATCCTTGATTCGAAATTGGCCTTCGGTCCATACATTGAATATATAACACAAAAAATGCGAAAAAAACATAAATATTCTTCGGTCTTTGTCAGGTGTTTGGTGGGGGTCCCATCCTTTTTTCTCAGAAATTACTGTACAATGCTTTAATACGAAGCCACCTTGACTATGGATGTTTTCTGTTGGAGCCTTGCAATAAATCATCCCTTAAAGTAATGGACAAAATTCAATCGAAATGCCTTCGCATTATTACAGGGGCAATGAAATCCTCACCAATAAATGTTCTTCAGGTTGAGTGCGTAGATCCTCCTTTAAGATTAAGAAGGCAATACCTTTCAGACAGATTCTTATTTAAGATCTGCCAACTTTCAGATCATCCCCTAATTCCTAAATTGCACCTTCTTTCAGAGTATATCTCATCTGACCGATACTGGACCCATAAGGACTCTCCCTGCTTGTTTAAAAGTTTTGTAATTTTTCTTCAGCTTCCTTACCCAATCTTTCAATGCAAAATAAATCCACTCTTTGATGTTCCTTACGAGGCTATTGTTTACCAACCCGACATTCATCTAGATCTAGATATAGAAAAGGATTCTCCAATGGCAAATTTGAAATTAAAAGAAATTATAGAAAACACCTTTAAAGATTGGCTTGTCATGTACACAGACGCTTCAAAACATTCTGATGAAGACTATACTGGAGCTGCTGTTTGGATTCCTAAGTTCAAAATTATTCTTAACTTTAAATGCCCCTCACTATCCTCCACTTTTACTGGTGAAGCAACTGCAATCAGTGAAGCTTTGTTATATGTAGAGTCACATAATCTTAATAAAACAGTTATTTTCACAGATTCAAAAAGTTGTTTGTTAGCTATTTTGTCCAATCAATTCCATAACAAACATAAGTTTCCACTAATTCTTAAAATAAAAAATACCCTATTCAGATGCCATCTTAAAGGAATCCATGTTTCAGTGGCCTGGATTCCAGGCCACAGTGGTATCCATGGTAACGAAACAGCTGATGTACTCGCTAAAAATGCAATTGCTAATGGCATTCTACAAAATTTAATTTACTCACATGACCTAATTTTGCTAGCTAAAAGGAAACTGAATGAAAATTGGAATAAATTATGGGAAGTTTCCAAAAAAGTTAAAGGTAAGCACTATGCTGCCATCCAAGAGGTTATTCCTCCCAAGCCTTGGTTCTTTAAATTTAACAAAGCAAATAAACATGCAACTTCAATCATTTGTAGATTAAGAATTGGACACGCCTGTACACATGCACATCTGGCAAAAATCAGAGTAAGGGATAGCTCATTGTGTGAATGTGGCTTAGATGAAGGTTCCACAAACCATATTTTTTTCAACTGTCCCAAATTATCCTCCTCCCTTTATGATTACCTTCCTCCTTATATTCCTCGACCTATAGATTTTATGATAATTGATAGAATCAGGCGTTACTTTGCGGAAATCCATTATAATAAAAAATAAAAATATAAATTTCTTTGCAACTTTCCGCTAAACATATAAAATGATGTGTCTTACCTGGATTGAAGCGCACCTCCCGCCCTCCCTCAATTGCATACACTAACTCCGTCACCACTAGACCAAGCACCACTACTCTCAACACCACTATTCCAGGCAAGACACACCATCTACGATAATACGACACGTGTTTCGCCTCTACACGAGGCATCCTCAGGTAATATAGACTCTACGGTGGTACACTTAGCGGTCAGCCACCGTAGAGTCTATATTACCTGAGGATGCCTCGTGTAGAGGCGAAACACGTGTCGTATTATCGTAGATGGTGTGTCTTGCCTGGAATAGTGGTGTTGAGAGTAGTGGTGCTTGGTCTAGTGGTGACGGAGTTAGTGTATGCAATTGAGGGAGGGCGGGAGGTGCGCTTCAATCCAGGTAAGACACATCATTTTATATGTTTAGCGGAAAGTTGCAAAGAAATTTATATTTTTATTTTTTTACTATAGATTTTAATTCTCTTTTAACATATACCAGTACTCCTTTTGTGTATATTTTATGTGATTTTATTAATACTAATAATATGAAACTTTAAATCCTTGTCACTTTTAACATACGGGTAAGAGTCTAACACCTGTGTTTGTCATATTTGTTCTAGGTAATTCAACAAATAGATTTTTCAAAATTCTCGGAGGAAAACTGAATCCTTGTATTATCACAGACTCTTATTTTAATTAAACTTATAAGCTTTCATTTTCTACTCAATACGTCATTGGCGAATTTTATCAAACCGCCACAAAAGAAAGAAGAAGAAGAAGAAGAGCACACATAAAAGCGATTACGTCGTATTATCAGTTAATCACTACTAAAAACCCGATTTGCTGTGTTGACAGACGGATTTTAATACATATTTATTTGTAAATAGCGTGCAATTTGGCATTTTATAAATAATTTGCATGCGAAATTTGGAAACGATTGTAACGTCAAAATACATCTCATGTTGACATTTATACGTGTGAATTGACGTAGCATTTTAGTGGCTAAACGGGCTCCGCCCACACCCCCGTTCTATTATGTATGTATTATAGTATTCTATGGTAATTAATGAGAACATCAGTAATGTTAAAATCGTAATGCGTACATTACACGCTATTGCAGGTGTCAATCAATTCCATCAATCATGATGATAAAAAACGGGTGGTGACTGATAGGCGTACATTACGCGCACATGCAGGCGTCAATCACTGCATTACACCGTAGGTTATACGTCAATTACAACTGTGATTGTTGTAAAACTGACAGCCAGTTTAAAAAACAAAAATGATAAATTTTCATTTCACTCAATTTCAGGAAAAGTTAATAAAGAATTTGACAATGACAGTGATTATTTACCTGAAGAGGATACCAAGCGTCGTATTTCAGGCAGTGATGATGATTTCAAGCCTGTTAAAGTAAGTCCTAAGCCCAGTACAAGCCGCAAAATTGACAGGCGCGTGCTATCACAAGATGAAGAAGTTCCAACAAACAAGATTGATGTTTGGTGTGAAATATTTGTTGAGGAACTTGAAGAATGGATAGCAGTAGATGTTATTAGAAGCAAAGTGCACTGTGTTAATGAGATCTATGTAAGTACTGTGACATGATTACAGCAGTTTTCTTGACTGATAGTAACTGACCTAATTTATTTATTTTTATAATATATAAGTATAAGATATATTATAGCGCAAAATGATTACACCAACATAGTGGTTGCAATCCAATGAATCGCTTAATTGAAAGAAAATGTTGATGATTTTTGGAGATTTCTATTACAATGCAAATATAGTTATTTTTTTTTAATTACAGTCAAAAGCTACTCACCCTGTTACATATATTGTTGGCTGGGACAACAATAATTACTTAAAAGATTTGACTAGAAGGTATGTTCCTCATTGGAACACCGTCACCCGTAAACAACGCGTTGAAATTGATTGGTGGGATAAAGCGATACAACCATGGCTAGCTCCAAAGACTGCTCGGGACAGGGAAGAGGATGAGCGTTTAGATAGGATGCAGCTAGAAGCACCATTACCTAAAAGTATTGCAGAGTAAGTTATATATTATTGTATTATGTTTGCTTATTTTTTTTAAATTAATATATTAAATGCACAAGTTCATTTAAGACTGCAAGTTGAAATAATCTAATTTGCGGTTACATATATTTTTATCTGTCTCAAGCTTTTCCAAATTATATACATTATGCCTCTTTGAAATTTTCATCATGACGACCAAAGTTCTTGTTATTGAAGAACATCCATGATCTGTAGTGAAATAAACCGGTAAATCTTCAATCTGTTCACAAAGTGATACATAACTGAGCCTAGTGTACCTATTGTCGTGTTGTAGTGTGTCTATTGTTCTTCAATGCGGAACTCGATATTCACTTGTATAAAGAGGGGGTTGCATATAGCACATCGCACACTTAGGGTGCTATCTTATTGCTTGTACATTTTTTCCTTCAGTTAACTGCAAAAGTGTCAAGAACAGAAAATGATGAATATTCTCCAAACCATTTCTCCGTAAATAGATAGACATATAGATATAGGTTATCATATTCTCTATAATGCAAATATTTCATCAACCCACAGTAACATCATTATTTTTGCTGTTATTTTTAAATTTTAACTTATGTAATTGTCTGACATATATTTTAATGTATTCAGTTTCACCTTACGGCATTGTCAGTAATAGCATAGAATAAATAATAGTACAAGAACAGAAGTAACTCTCTGATAGCGAACTTGCGAGTTTAAACCTAGTTACAACGTAGCTAATATTCATAATGCTTTGCACGCCTCGTTGGCGACCTTCGATGGCGCGCGTAATAAATCAAAATGCACCTTATGTCCGCGCGCGAGTGTCTATCACTTAGCCAGTTACGTGCTTTTATTAAGGCCGCTCCTACTGTCGAGTTAGGTGTTGTGAGAAAACAAATTGAATTCTTTGATATAAGTTGCTAGTAGAATACACCTAGGTGTTATGCAATGTATGTAATTTGCTGATAATAAGAATATTAGTGTTCAATGTGAGGAAGATTAATATGCAACATCTAGAAAAATTAGGATTATAACAACGCGAAGTCGACATTCATATTAAGGGTGACAAACAAACACATAGTCTGCCTGATGGTAAGTGGGTGCTGTGGCCCATACACATCTACGTTTTTCCATCATTAAGAATCACAATGCGGATGCGTTATCATCCCTGAGGACTGAGATGGAATACTTCGTGTCCATTAAAAAGGGTCTCCGGGTCTCTAAACTCACCGTACGAAACACAGCAGTATTAAGGCGTCATTTTACTCAGATAATTTATCTACTTACCACTTTATTTTCACATTTTTTTGCTATTTATAAACATGTGACACGCGACGGCATTATTAATGAAAGAGTGGCAATGAGAAGTGCTGCTAATCGGCATTCATGATTTAAGCACCCGTATGCCATGCGGTACTTTTTGGCTTTTTGAGAAATTTTTGAGAAAATTTGTTGGTTTTTCTATTTCACATATTTTTTTAAGTTTTATAGATTATAAACCAAAAATTTTGCCATATGATTTTTGACTATATGACCTTGGATTGCATAAAAGGAAAACGCGATATCATGTATAATGATTTCTTATATTTACGCGAACACTATACATTGATTAAAACTACTTTTACGGATTTTATCGCGTTTATTTTACTATTATTTTTAATTCCCAACGTTTCGGGTGCTTTCCAGCACCCAAGGTCACGGGGGACTGAGATGACTGACGTCCTGATGTCATTGTTAAACCCGGAGTACCTTCAGCTTTTTTAATTATTGTTTATGGTCCGATCTATGCAAAATGAACTGACTATGTCCTGAGGTCTTGCAGTGGTATGCTTGGGTTTAGTTTTAATTTTATTGATTATAGGATCCCGCCGATTATAGGATCGCCGATCGCAAACTGCATACTTCGGGAAGTCTGCAGTTTGCGATCATATCCTAGACGGCCTCAACCATTACATCAGATTTGATAGATTCCTACCAAGGATGATACGTGAGGCTATTGAAATTAAAAAACATCCTAATTTCAATAGAGAAGGAGGCTGGGTACTACCACCTACTTGGGATCCTATAATCAATAAAATTAAAACTAAACCCAAGCATACCACTGCAAGACCTCAGGACATAGTCAGTTCACTTTGCATAGATCGGACCATAAACAATAATTAAAAAAGCTGAAGGTACTCCAGGTTTAACAATGACATCAGGACGTCAGTCATATCAGTCCCCCGTGCCCATGGGTGCTGGAAAGCGCCCGAAACGTCGGGAATTAAAAATAATAGTAAAATAAACGCGATAAAATCCGTAAAAGTAGTTTTAATCAATGATATCATGTAATTTTCTCTATAGAAAAAAAATTTCAAAGTAGGCGCTAATTAGTTACATTTCTCCATGACACCACAATGTCTTTACGAATAAATTTATGGAATTATTTTTAAGGCATAGTAAATAATCATATCTAAGTTCTCATAAACCATTTTTTATATTCATTTTGAATGCCACGTTCCATGCCCCCAAAACTATGATTAATTTTCAAGGTATCCTCTTAACATCATGTGGACTGTTTACTCGTTTGTCTCCCATAGCACAGTCCATAGTTTACATAATAAAAATGTATTTAATCCAATATACATTTTATGTTTGACAAACAGAGCACATGTACCACCATCAACACTAAAACATAAACTGACACAATAACCTCCAAAAATGGACGCCGGTTTGCCCATTCACTGACAATTCGGATTGCGACGTTTTTGACGTTGACGGACCGCCCCGGATGACGTCCATTTGGACTGGACACATGGATTTCAATCCATTTGAATATCCAGAGCTGGATGAAGTCCATCCAAATATAATGTTTTTTACCATTCACGGAACAGTTTTAAGCGATTACAACTCCATTTGGATTAATTATATACAAAACGTAAAGATTTACCATACAATACACGCTACGACATAAAAATAAATTAGTGTTACCAACTTCCCGATTAAAACTTAAACACTTCTAGTACATATAGTTATTCCATAAAATTATATAATAAACTACCTAACATTAAAAAACGAAAATAGTGACATCATAGTTACAAAAAAAATTAAAACAGTTCCTAACTAATAAATGTTACTATAATACTAATGAATATTTTTTAGATAAATAATACATAAATATATAGGTTATACAAAATAATCACTCATTTAAATTGAATTATATTTGAATAAACCACCTGACATTCTTATAATTAGTTAAATACGCTTCCTCTCTCCTAGCCCCTAAATTGCGTGCCCAGCAGGATCCCATAACACTGGTCTTACATGATTTTATAACATCTTATGTCCATTATGGTTTAGCAATAAATGTTTGAGTTTGAGTTTAATGGAAGTATCGTCAGTGCGTACTTTAAACTATGACATTGACTTTATTTTAAAACATTATGCTTATTCGTAGGTATAAGAACCATCCACTGTATGCACTTAAGCGACATTTGCTGAAGTATGAAGTGATTTACCCTCCCGATGCGGCTACTTTGGGATTCGTGCGTGGAGAACCAGTTTACGCTAGAGAATGTGTATATATTTGTAGATCACGAGACACGTGGTTAAAAGAAGCAAAGGTTGTAAGACTTGGTGAACAACCCTACAAAGTGGTTAAAGCAAGACCAAAATGGGATAGGGTGAGAATATAACTGTTATATTTTCTATTTGTTAATCTTAATTTTAATTAATGTGATTAAAATTAATTAAGCGTCAGAGAGAAATGAAACAGTAGAAGAGCAGCAGCATCTCAACATCTCAAAAAAAATTAGTTGCTCTCAACCGGCTAAGTGTTGGAACTATGACAAAAATTCCTACTAAGAGGACAATATTCAACAGTAAGGTTAAATAGGCTGTAATAAATCAATAAATGACGATTCTAATTTTATATATCTAAAAGATATGACCTCAAAATACCTAAGTATAAATTGTTATATAATAGGTTAAATTAATAATACATAATAATGTCCTCCAGACCGAATTTCGGCCACGGCGGCCTGCCTCAACGGAGGCTAGCCATCGGCGCAGGACAGGATTATAGTGCCCAAGTGTATGCGTAAGCACAGGTGTACTCTCTACCGATTCCCCTTCCTTCACTCTCATAATCCGATGGTACGGTAAACTGACACGAACGGAGAGAGATCAGGCGCAGGACCAACGGCTTTACGTGCTTTCCGAGGCACGGGGGTGAAACACCACCAACTTTCTGACTCTGGGCAGCTACTGAGAATTTCTTGACAGAAAAACTCAATAAACTGATTTTTTGGCCCGACCCAGGATTCGAACCCAGGACCTCATGATCAGCAGTCGCACTACTATAACCACTAGACCTATGAGGCAGTTAAAATATATATGTCGCCTAAATATATGTTTTATTTTCCAGCTTTCTAATAAGCTAATTACTGATAAACCACTAGAAATTTTCGGTCCGTGGCAAGTGCAGGACTATGAGCCACCTGTAGCAGAGAATGGTATAGTGCCAAGGAATGCCTATGGGAATGTTGAGCTTTTCAAGGATTGCATGCTTCCTAAAGGAACTGTTCATATAAAGCGTAAGTACATTTTAATGAATTATTTATATATAACATTCTCTATCCATAAAAAATTGCACACTCTCGTTTCTGACTGGGTTTTTATTCGGTTTCCCCTTACCTTCCTCTCGCTCGCTCGCTTACTCCCTCCCTCTATCTCCCTTTCGCTCTCGATTTATTTCTCCCTACCTCTATCTATCTATCTGTCTCCTATGTTAGCTATGAAAATACATTTAAAATTTAGAGACTGCGTAGCTTAGCTGCTTTTATCTAACTGCAAATACTTGGTTCACGAATACCAGCCAAAAGCCTATTTATATAGAAAAGCATTTTTGATTTTCGGGTGTGTTGTTAATGTACTCTTTAAATTGCTGTAATGACACACATGATAAAGTTATCAGATTTTAACGATAAGCAAGGGTAACAACTGTCCGCTTAAAATACCTTGGCACACCTGCCTATCCTTTGGATAAAGAATCTAAAAAGAAAAAAGATGCATTGTCACCTCTGAGTTTAAAAGAGTCTATGGTTCATACAAAACAGAACAATAATGGTGCTGCTATTTCACGCTTGTGTACTGTGAGCATGATCCTTTCTCAGTGGAGCCGACCTATTTGTTATTAAAACATACATAAACACTCACGCCTGTCATCCAGAGGGGTAGGCAGAGACTACAGACTTCCATTTGGCACGAACCTGACACACCTCTCTCGCCGCCTTCACGTCCATATACCTACGCATACATGCTCGTCGGTTAAGGGTACTCCTAATTTTGCCCGTTTTCCATAAATCGTTAATTTGGTCGATAAATTTTCGCCTAGGACGTTGCATTCCGACTCTGCCATTCAATTCTGGGACATAAATTTTCTTTGTCACTCTTTCCTCATTTAATTTTTTCTACATGTCCAAACTACCGAAGCATTCCTTTCTTAATCCTGGTCACAACATCCTCTTGCAAACCAACCTCTTCTCTTATCACGCAATTTCTCACCCTGTCATTCAGATTCAGTCCTAACATACTCCTTAACGACCGCATTTCGACTGCGTTTATTCTACTCCCGTGCTTCTTCTGCCACACCCAACTTTTACTACCATACGTTAAAGTAGGGACCAACACAGCATTGTGAATTGTCATACGTGCCTTTTTTGACACATTTTGACTCTTCACAATAGAGTGTAGGGCCCCATTTACTCTATTTCCTGTGTTCACTCGTAGTTCTATATTCTTATCATATCTCCCATCCCTACTAAATACCCAACCCAAATATACAAACTCACCTACTTGCTCGATATTGCCTTGCCCCTTCTATTCTTATTTCACATATCATTTTACTTTCTTCTCTTTCGAAAACCATAACTTTCGTCTTACTTGCGTTCACTTTCATACCCCTTTTTGTTATTCTGCAATTATTATATGCCGTGTAGCTCTACCACTTATTATATAACAAAATGCCTGTACCACTTAAATAGAAATAGATTTTTTTTGTTATTCAGTATAGATTATAAATAATACCTATTGGAAGTGATTCTAATGAGATGGTCCTGGGAAGAACCAGCGATATACCCAGCGGGCATCTTGCTGGTTGGGTATTTAAAAAAAAGAACAGTTCATAATGCCTCAAAATTTACTACATAAATCATATTAAAAGTGGCTTAGTAGTGATTACCTGATTCATTGGAGTAATAATCATCTTTAAATTGAAAAAAATCGAAGGAGTTTCATTGTATTGCTGTCGCCTTGCCTGTGGTATTAGTAGCTTAGATAACTGCTACGTGTACTAGAATTCAAAATGCCTACAGTAAATATTTGTGAACAATAACTTAAATATGCCTTGATTTCGAGTTTAGTTATGTTATTATTTTTATTTTAAACACTATCATCATAGCCTACCTTTGACTTTATCGACAAAGCGTTACATCGGGCATTGTTGGTAAGTTAGGACAACTTCTTAGTTATGCTCTTGCAATGTTTAAGAAGACAGCATTTGACTGAGCGTGCAGCGGGGCGTCATGAGAAACGCGCTGTTATCCGATCAGTCCTTAGCCTGATGGCAATACTGCACTGTTGACATCTTCCATAATTATTCGAAACTTGTTATCATAGTCGCAATGTGCCAGAAGGGGTAATCTATCATCATTTATAATTTAATTGGCAACAAAATATAATTCCTATCATTGTGTATTTGTGACTTTAGTGCCTGGATTAAACAGAGTGGCAAAGAAATTGAACATAGACTGTGCCCCTGCCATGACAGGATTCGACTTTAATGGGGGCTGGACACACCCGGTATTTGATGGATTCATTGTGTGTAAGGAGTTTGAGGAAATCATAACTGAAGCCTGGCTTAAGGTATATTATTTTTTTTTACTTCAAAACTAAACCAAAACATTTTTAATTAATTATGTAATTTTTGCAAAATTTAACAACATTTTCTTTTAAATAGAGACAACACTTAAAGTCATAGAGCAACAATGGCCACCGGCGGGCGGAATGGAGGCGAGTAGCCATTGCTTTTTCCCCGATGGAAAACTGTCATTTTTGCGGGGGAACAACACACAAAAAGTGACGTCTATCACTACAAATAAACTAACAAATTCACATACTCATAGATACATTATAACAGTATCTTTCGGTGACGGTGACAATTTGGATACAGACTTGGATCAGTCACTCGATCAATCTGCATATTGTATGAGGGCAAATGACCTTTATTTATAGGAGAGAGGGCAAACGAGCATGCGGCTCACCTGATGGTAAGTGACTACCGCCGCACATGAACAACTGCAACACCAGGGTAACTGCGGATGCGTTGCCGGTCTTTTAAGAAGGAGTAGTCTCTTTTCTTGAAGGTCCTTAATTTGTATCGGTCCGGAAAAATCTCTGGTGGTAGTCGATGCCACAAGGAAGAAAACTTCTTTTAAATCGCATAGTGGTGAACTGCCAGTCATCCAGATGGTATGGATGGTTTCGCGAGATTTGTCGCGATGTGTGATGGTGAAATTTTGCGGCTGGAATTAGTTCAAACAATTCCTCAGAGCACTCCCCGTGGTAAATGCCATAAAATACGCAAAGGCAGTGCCAGTAATTCAAGCCAATTAGAAAGAGCTCAGTCGCCGACGATTTGACCTACTCTACGGAGCCCCAGCCCAGAGATGGGAATAGTATTCCATGTGCGGCTCAACCTGCGCCTTGTAAAGTTGCAGGCGGTGTGCCGGCATGAAATACTGTCCCGCTCTGCTGAGCACGCCAAGCTTTTAAAGGCCTTTTTGAACTTCCCTTCCAAGTGACCACGAAACTGCACGTCACTCGATATGTCGTCGCCTAAGATTCCGATACTGGCTAAAACAACAAGGCAAGTACCTTGAAACTTAGGAGATACAACGAAGGGATTATTTTTAGTGGTAAATATTGGCATGGCCAGTGTAAAAAGCATCACCAGTGCTGTCGTCTGCATAGCAGTGAATGATATCGGCTTGCAACATATCATTGATATGCAGAAGAAACACCGTTGGTGATAGCACTCGGACTTGTGGAACACCGGCGTTAATGGGCTTGTAATCGGAGCATGCACTGTTTATTATGACTTGATGCTTCGATCTGCAAGAAAACTGGTGATCCAATTACACGATTTCTCGGGAAGCCTACAGGAAGGAAGCTTCGTAGGAATAGGAAGTGCTTTGTGCCAAACCCGATCGAAGGCCTTCGCTATGTCTAAACTAACGGCCAGCTCCTCCACCGTGGACTCTACTGCCTCCGCCTATTTATGAGTTAGGTATCCCAGAAGATCGCCAGCTGAGCGACCGTGACGGACACCCTACTGGAGGGTCACTAATCAGCTGATGATCCTTAAGGTACCTCTTGAGCTGGCAGTTAATAATTGTTTTCATTATTTTGGACAACAAGTAGGTGATAGCGATAGGTCTGTATTTGGACGGATATGAGCGGTCGTCTTTTTAAGGGATCATCAGGTGCACTAAAGCTGTCTTCCATGAGTTCGGGACTACGACTAAAGAGTAGGAGTACCGGAAAAGATGCGTTAAAACTGGTGCCAACTCCGGAGCACTTCAGCACAATAGGAGGGACGCCATCAGGCCCACTCGACTTGTTGATGACCAGGGATGGGCGAGCTCTGCGCACCGGGTGCTGGGTGGATAGCTCATCCTGCATGGAGCACTCACACTGTGGGATGGTCGGCGGTATGTTCCCCTCATCAAGAGTCGAGTTGGACGCAAAGATAGAGAAAGAGAGCGCGCAGCAGATCAGCTTTGTCCTTTGCAACATGTGCCAGTGAGTCGTCACCATGTGCAGAGACGGGAGAGATGGTTGGCAGAAGTTCCTTTGGACAAAATTAGCGAGAGACCAGTATGCACGTGGTCCCAAAGGTAGTCGAACTAGTTTTCCGCCAATTCAGCCGATGTGCTCTGACTTTGTCTTGGCAATGACTCTTTGGAAGGACCTGGAGGCGGAATTATATTTCTCTTTAAGAGCACTGGTATTTGCATCGCGAGACGTCGATGCGTCAGCTCATGGCCGGCAGCCCTCCTACTTATTGCGTGCTGCAATTTTGCAGGAGCGACCAAACCATGGCTGGCTTCTGCCTTCAATAGGTACCACAGATGATGGAATAAAAAGTTCCATACTCTGTATAACCAAATCAGCAACAACAGCCATAGGATGCAAAGATGTAAAGATCACATCCCGTCCGAATTGGCTGACATATAGTGCCAAACACGCGGCCATCCATAGAACGCAACCGCGATGGGTGCGTCAGTGGCACCGTACTCCAGATCAGACAGTGGTCCGAGTTGCCAAGAGGTGCATCGACGGAGACCTGATATCCGTCCGAATGAGAGGTCAGCAGAAGGTCCAACAGGGAAGGTACATGATCTTCCACATCCGGGATCCGCGTAGACGAGGAAACCAGTTGTGTAGACCATATGCCAAAGCAGTCATAAATAGATCTGCCCGCATGATGCGTGGATTTCTGCGGATGGGACCTGTTGTAGCACGGAGTCTTCAGCCATTAGAACGTGGTTGATGAGTCGGTCTGTGTCGGCATTATCGCTATGGGACCCATAGAAGCACCCATAAACGCGGGGATGGTCGTCACTCTAAGCGCAGTCATAAAATGGATAGGTCCGTACCTTCAAGACTGCTGAGGCGTATAGCTCAGCGAGGGATTCTCCTTCACCAGGTATGCTGGTCCTGGGGTAGTATTCTACGTAACTCTGCACCATGTTAAGAGTTGGGGGGCATGAATTGGGCCTCCGGCCACTCATCAAACTAAGTGTAGATGCAGAGCCTCTACTTCACACTGGTCTTCTGTGAGGTTGTGGTACCACCCCGATTTGAGCCGGTCCATGTGTGCAACAGAAAAAGCTGTCTCGTGGTTCTACCACTTCTGGTCTGAACAACAAATAATAAATATAAACAAATCCTAAACAACACGACCGTTATAAATGTAATTTTTAAGTTTAAAAAGAAATAAATTGCAATAATGTAATCAAAATTACTTATATATGAAAGGTACGAGGGTGGATTGAAAAGTACTCGGCCTAACACAGATCCATTCAATTCTAAAAATCAAATCTACCCACTTTATTTAGTTTAGTTCAGACTAGTTCATTGTGTGAAGTTCGAAACGTGTGCGATAATTAGTTGTGATTTTATAAATTTATTAACAAAGTAATCGGACATAATTTCCGCGAATGGAGCAAATCGAGCAGCGTGCCGTCATTAAGTATCTCCATAAGAAGGGGCTATCATCAAAAGCCATCCATGGTGACATGGTCAGTACATTAGGCGATTGTGCTCTGACATATTCATCCGTCAAAAAATGGATAGCAGAATTTAAGCGTGGTAGAGAGAGTGTGAAAGATGAACCCCGCTCTGGAAGGCCTTCGACGTCAACTACTGACGAAAATATTAAAAAAGTACTTGATTTAATAATGGGAGACCGCAGATTAAAAATTGGAGAGATAGCCGAGATTATAGGCATCTCTTATGAACGAACTCAAAACATCATTGTCAACGAGTTGGGTTTCCACAAGGTGTCTGCGAGGTGTGTTCCGCGACTGCTTTCAGTTGAACAAAAAAGGACGCGATTGACTATTTCACGCGACTGTTTGGAGTTATTTGAAGCCGATGCAGATGATTTTTTGAATCGTTTTGTTACTATGGACGAAACATGGGTTCATTACTGTACACCGGAAACAAAACAACAATCAAAACAGTGGAGAAGACCTGGTTCACCACCCCCTAAAAAGGCTAAGTCGATTTTGTCGGCAAATAAGGTGATGGCTTCAGTATTCTGGGACTCGAAAGGTGTGATTATGATTGATTATCTTGAAAGGGGTCAGACTATAAACTCTGATTACTACTGCACCTTACTACGTCGTTTACGAGAGGAAATAAAAGAAAAACGTCGAGGAATGCTCAGAAGAAAAGTCCTGTTTCATCAAGATAACGCCCGTGTTCACACTTCAGTACAGTCAATGGCTGAAATTCACAACTGTGGCTTTGAACTGTTACCGCATCCGCCGTATTCACCTGATCTGGCACCATCAGACTTCTTTCTGTTCCCTAACCTAAAAAAGCACTTGGGAGGTCAAAGATTTTCGACAAACGACGAGGTCAAAGCAGCTGTAGACGCATATTTTGACTCTAAGGAAGAATCATTTTTTTTCAACGGTCTAAATGCTTGGAAGGGGAGGTGGCAAAAGTGTATTGAACTTGATGGTGATTATGTAGAAAAATAAAAATATAACTGATTTAGTATGTGTTTATTTTCTTGGTTAGGCCGAGTACTTTTCAATCCACCCTCGTAACACCATCGTTTTGTAAATTTGATTTGGCAGATTTCTTCATCATCATCATCATCATTACAGCCCTTCACAAGTCCACTGCTGAACATAGGCCTCCTCCAAGTAATGCCACAAAGCACGGGCCCGAGCCACCTGCATCCATCGACTTCCTGCATGTCTTACCAGGTCGTCACTCCATCTAGTGGGGGGTCGCCCTACACTACGCCTACCGGTACGAGGCTGCCACTCGAGAACCTTTCTTCCCCATCGGTTATCGTTTCTTCGAGCTATATGGCCGGCCCATTGCCACTTCAGCTTACTAATCCGTTGGGCTATGTCGGTCACTCTGGTTTTACTGCGGATATCCTCATTTCTGAGTCTATCACGCAGAGAAACTCCAAGCATAGCCCTCTCCATAGCTCGCTAAACGACCTTAAGCGTTCTCATACGGCCACCAGTGAAGGACCACGTCTCAGATCCATAAGTCATCACTGGCAACACGCACTGGTTGTACAATCTAGTTTTTAGAGATTGAGGTATACCTGACGAAAAGATATGTTGTAATTTCCCGAACGCTGCCCAGCCGAGTTGAATCCGTCGATTGACCTCTCGGTCGAAGTTGGACTTACCTAGTCGGACTATTTGTCCCAGGTAAACGTACTCGTCAACAACTTCGAGCATAGTGCTCCCAACAACTACCGGCATAGGTGTGACATGGACATTAAACATGATCTTTGTTTTGTCCATGTTCATCTTAAGACCTATCCGTTGGGAGGCACTATTGAGGTCATTGAGCATAATGCTTAAGTCCTCCAGCGATTCTGCCATAATGACTATATCGTCGGCAAATCGAAGGTGAGTGATGTACTCGCCATTGATGTTAATACCGTATCCTTTCCAGTCCAGTAGCTTGAAAACGTCTTCCAACGCAGCGGTAAAGAGTTTCGGGGATATAACATCACCCTGTCTTACACCTCTCTGCAGTTGGATAGGTTTCGAACTCTGGTTCTGTACTCGGATAGCCATCGTAGCCCTACTGTACAAACACTTCAGCACTTCGATGTACCGACAGTCAACTTGGCACCGCTGAAGGGACTGTAGCACCGCCCAAATTTCGACGAAATCAAAGGCTTTCTCATAGTCCACATATGCCAGGCAAAGTGGCAGATTGTACTCTTCGGTCTTCTGTACAATCTGCCGCAGGGTATGTATGTGGTCTATGGTACTGAAGCCTTTTCGGAAACCGGCTTGTTCGGGAGGCTGGAAGTCGTCGAGTCTGCGTGCGAGACGATTCGTAATGACTCTCGAAAATAGCATGTAGACGCGGCTCAGAAGGGAAATCGGTCTGTAGTTCTTCAAGAGAGCGTTGTCGCCTTTCTTAAAGAACAAAACCACCGCGCTTCTGCTCCACGCCTCGGGAGTAGTGCCACCATGGAGGACGGAATTGAAGAGCTTCCGAAGGACTTCAAGTACCGGTTTTCCACCCGCTTTCAGAAGCTCCGCTGTAATTCCATCCTCGCCCGGGGCCTTGCCGTTTTTAAGGTGGTGGAGAGCCATTCTAATCTCGCTCAGACTGACGTCCGGGATATCATCGGAATAGTGTCGGATAAGACTTGCTCTTGGATCGTTACTCACACTTGCGTGTGGCTCCAACGATGATGTGTACAGCTGCCCATAGAACCTCTCAATCTCACTCAAAATCTCAGGTGTCCCGGAAACGATATTGCCACACTCAGTCTTCAGCTTTGACAGTTGGCTCTTTCTGGCAGACAGATCTCTGGCAAAGACTTTGGAGCCCTGGTTCCGCTCGATCGCTTCTTTAATACGAGAGGTATTAAAGTTGCGTAAGTCTCGCCGCATGCATTTGGAGATCTGTCTGTTCAGTTGCCTGTATGCTGTCAAATCTGTTGACGATTGCAGCCTCATCTCCCGTCTAACAGCCATGAGATTAAGAGTGTGATCGGAGAGTTTTTGTGTTCTTCTGCGGCGGGTCTTGCAGAACTTAGCTCCGACCGCATGGACAGTTTCCACGAGCTTGTCGTTCATATCGTCCACTGCATTGCAATCTTCTAGGCACTGGAAGCGGTTACGTAACTCGAGCTGAAAGGTTTCGAGATTCTGGATTAGAGCACGAGGGGGGACGGAGCGTTGACTTCATTAGACGAGACCTCTCCAACTTAACGTTTAGGTTCAGTGTGCCTCTAACCATTCGGTGATCGCTGCCAGTTTTCACCCTTGCGATCACTGAGATATCACTGAACAGTTGGCGTCTGGTCGTCATAATGAAGTCAATCTCATTTTTTGTCGAACCGTCGGGGGCTCGACCAGGTCCACTTCCTGTGGGGCCGCTTCTGGAAGAAAGAGTTCATCATAAAGAGTCCCTCTTTCTCCATAAAGTCGGCCAGCTGCTGGCCCCTTCGGTTCCGTTGCCCCACTCCAAATTTCCCTACCTTCAGCTCACCGCTTTCTCTTGTGCCTAGTTTTGCGTTGAAGTCTCCCATCAACACCGTGTAGTGGGTTTTGGAGGAATGTATGGCTCTGGAAATATCCTCATACATTTCCTCCACCTCCTCATCGGGATGTGCCGAGGTTTCTTAGGCAGATTTCTTAGACAAAGCAAAAAAATGAACAGTTTGACTTTTTTTATATTCAGCCGCGCAACTAGATTAAGTCTAATTAACAGTGCGGCTGCAACTAGTTTTATTGTACGCACAGGACCATGCGGGCTTGTACTTTGGCCCAGGAGGACACCTGTGTACCTACTCTCCTCCAATCCGCTAGTGGGCCGTTTTACTTTAAGCTTAAAACGCGTCAAATATTTCTGTATAAATATGTAAATTAAAATACATAATGATTTCATAATATAAGAACATGAAACTATTTTATCAACAGTGTGTAATATTAGATAAAATTTTGTCAATATATGTACTTTATAATCAACAGGACCAAGAAGATCAGGAACGAAAAGAGCGTGAAAAGATAGATACTCGAGTATATGGTAACTGGAGGAAACTTATTAAAGGGTTACTTATACGAGAAAGGCTCAAAGTTAAATATGGTTTTGACAACCCAGGCACTTCTCAGGGTAATAAGAAAAAAGCGAAAGCTCCACGTCTAGTTGTGAAAAAAACTAAGTGAAACTGTAAATGGATTGATTTTAGTTAAGTGATATAAGATACAAATTTTACACAATTTTATCTGTTAATTTTAGAATTATTTAATGTTTTGAAAAGCATAACAAGTATTTGGACAACTGTAAGAAAATATGTTACAATTAACCAACTACCTCGAGAAACATTATTCCCATAATTTTCTTAGTGAAGGCATATTTGTCTCATACAATTTCAGACAATTCTATATTATTATGGCGAAACAATAACTATGTTTCTTGTTTAACTTAAATTTTTGCCGTTAAACTATTATTTGAATCTCGTTTTCAAACATTTTATATATTCATCGTTAGTTATACCAATAATTATTATCAGCTTAGTTTACTGATTGCTACATAGTAGGTAATCCCATTCTAAAAGTATCGTAAATGGTAATATAACGTGATTAATGTGTTAAACACATTTCAAACTGTGATATGTATAATGTATATTCTTAGTAAGATTCATTTAAATTTTACATCTATTGTACAAATAAATTTGTATACTTAAAAACATCAAGCTAGATCAGTTATTAAAATCAACATACTCACCTGTTGTTATTATATAATAAATAACCAATGGTGAAACATTTTACACACACTTGCCAAATTTCTTTTTAAAAAAATAAGTATATTTAATGGTACTGAGACACACATTTGAGTATTATGTGATAAATATTACCGTATATAAATTAATATTACTTTCATTTTGCTTACACTCAATTCAGCATGCATACCACTGGTTCACCGTCCCTCGTATAAATATTATTTTCAACTATAAAAGTAGCGGGTAAAAAATTAATCCCATCGTCATTACTGCCGGTTTAATAATCAAAAGATCAGATATTAAAAGATTAAAAAGTCGGAGGTTAACTGTCCCCTAGTTTTATAACCATGCCTTTTATCACACACTCACGCAGGCACGCACGCATGCACGCATGCACGCACGCACGTACGCAACACACACACACACACACACACACACACAACAAGGATCAGAAGAATTCTGTGATTTCAATCACCACACATCATTATTTTAAGAAATACTTAGCTAATCTTCTATCTCCATTTCCTTTAAACATTTTAGAATCTGTATAATATATTGCTTACAGTTGTCTTAATTGATATCTTAAGTGTTAAAAACTAAAATGAGTAAAAACTTAGTTTTTAAAATTCTTTTAAGTGATAAGATCACATTTAAAAATATTAAAAGTGTATGCTTTGTTGTTACTTGATATGACGGTAACTTTAGGGGATTTGGTAGGATTGTCAGTGACCCACAACAATTGATTCCACAAAATCTGTCTGTTACCTATTTTATTACCAACATAGTATTAAATCTGTCATATAAGCAAAAATCTAAGGCAAATTTTTAATTTGATGCCATTGTTGAAAATATTCCACAGAGCTAGGTGGTCGAAATCAATGTATTACATAGAATATTACCTATTTCTGTCGTCAAATGACAGTGCTGGCAATGCTGTGTTCCGGTCTGAAGGGTGTAAAGAAGTCAGTTTAATGCGGTGAGGCATTCAACTGTTCTCAAAACTGACAGCGCATCTGAAGCCTTCTTTACATGGAGCTGGTTGCAGATGTCCTTGGACTGCAGTAGCCCCCATTATCAAGTGGTCAACCTTTAATCAGGTGGTCTGTAAGTCCGTTTGCCACTTCAGTTTTTTTTTTAAGTTGCCATATTTTTATACGAAAAATACAAAAAAAATTGGAGCCATATGAGATTATCCTTAGCAATTATGTGAATGTTCTTCAAATTCCAATTATGTTGCTACATTTTAATTACGGGTATACACATTTAATTTTAAGAATCATTTTAAATGTTATGTGTTAGTTTTGTATCTGCTGTGATCTTTTATGTTTTCCGCCTTGTTGCTACAATTTTTTTAGTTTTATTGATTTTGCACGTATATTTGCATGTTACGTTCGAAATAAAAATTTTTACATTCATTATTTTTTGTTTTTTTCTATAAGAGATATTGAAGTAAAAAACGTTTTTATGTATTTATTTATTTATTACGAAAGTAATGAATACTGTCACAAGATCTCCAATAAGCTGACTTAACTTTATAAATTATAATTTTTAATTAGCATGTTATTAGAACAAAAGCCTTAAAGCATTTGAAGAGTTAACTCTAGTACAGCTTATTTGCTGCTTAAATAAATGTAATGACAAAATTATATACAAAATCTCTGGTGTATGTATAAAAATATGTATATCCACTTCAGATCTTGAGAATAGATCTGGTCGGTCGAAACGATCGCAATTAAATGCAATCTTTATCCGTGTTTACAGGATAGTTTTTATTCCTACCTCTATATCACATTGCGATATTAAAGAAGGTAGGTAATCACAATGCCATATTTTTGTATTACACATTTTTTTATATTTTTAAATTTATTTATTCTTACGTACCTATAACATATCTATTAAGTCTATGGGTCTTATTCTACATATTTTATGATGAATTTATAAACTAAGGGCCCAGACACATTCATCGCAGCTTATACTTATTGTGATGGGAATGTAACCTTTAATTTATACTATTCTATCATAAAATATTTGAACTTGCAACATTCTTATTCCCTCCTCCCCTAGTCTTATTTAGAATCAACCATAATTAAAACCAGTTTAATATATGGTATGATCAAGGTTATATAATTTGTAACAGATTAAATTCCTTTTAAGTAATTATTTGCATTTTTGTTTTCTATCAAAGCCCAGCTTCATATTTTCTTAAGCCATGGTCAATGTGCCTGCACCCATACCGAACCCGACTCCCTTAGGTCCATAATTGCGGCCATAGCAGCTACGGCAGTAAATTTCTCCGTTGGGACCGTCGTTCAGGTTTGTAGAATCCTGCAAAATAGAAAATATTCTTCAGAAATTCATGCAACAAACCTCGAAGAGCATTAACTTAAATTTATGAATTACTGTATTAGCATTGATGTTATTATTTCGCAGCAGGCAAGCAACCAGAGTTCATCAGTTCACTATCGAAATTTTAATCGCAGCTTTAAGTGATAATTTGAAATGTTGTATAAATCGTCATCTGAAAAATTAATCGAAGTGGAGACCGGCCCACACATTATTTTGTTCAAAGATGAAAATGAGAACTTATACCGTTTTTGGTACACACATAGTGCTGTGCTGACTGACGTACAAAGAGTACAAGTACAACCGCCATTACAGACAATTAAAGTCCAATGCTGAACATACGTCAAAAGAGCCAAACAAAGGCTCGAACTATGGAGGGTAGAGGTAAGAAGGACTATATCGGTATATGAAAGTGTCAGTCGAAATGCAGTTGAATTAGGGTGGCGCTATAATTACAGCAGGATACATTTTAATTTAAAACCATTTTTATTTAAAAAACATATTTGGGCTATTTTAAAAAGTTTCTGTTCACACTAAAAATTACTAAACATATTTAAAGATCACTAAAATAAAATCACTTCACGTTTTTTCACAGCAGTTACGTATTTTAAGTTATATTAAAAAAAATTGGACTACTTGAATAGTTGAAGTTTTGTATATTGTACTGTAACATACTCTAGCCACCGAAATATTTTTCTTCATACCACATCCTGTACCTACGCTAGCGCCATTCTGAAAGGTTTTTGATCTGTTAGTTACAGCTTACAGCTGGACACTTTTTCATTTTGTTCCTCATATGAGACAGTCTTCTTTACCCCTACCCTCCATAGCTCTAATGAATTATATTTGAGTAGTGGTGGGAACGGGAGTGGGAACCCTTTATCAGCCATAGACTGAAATCAGTAATTAGGCTGGTATGGAATTGAAATCATTCGTGTGTGTGATTGAACCTCTAAACTATGACGCCATGTCAAAATCACTAAATTAACCGCTAGGCTAGGCACAAAGAGTTAGCGCGATAGACTTTTTGAAAAATCTAGTGCCCATTGACTTACATATTACTAGCGTAAGGACCGGGCCGACCGAACAACTAAAACAGGCCAGTGCGCTGGCCCTAAAATTACAGTTTAGGGCCAACGAGAATAGGTCGACAGTGGTGCGTGCGCAGGACAGATTTGCCTGTCATAAATATGTCTAGTTGCGTGGTAAAAGAATGCAAAAATTATGATACAAAGATTTAAAAAAAAACATGGGATATCGTATCATCGGTAAATAATCTTATATTAATTTTGTTACAATTAAATTATTATATAAACGTATTTTTAAAGTTTCCTTTTACAGTTAGTTTAGTTATGTTACCAAGATTAGGCCAGGGTTGGATTTAGACCCTCAAAAATATAGTACATGTAAAATAAAATTATTTAAAAAAAATATATCACGTTTGATGTTTCATGTTTATTTTTCTCATGTGCCGGGATTTTGGCGACACGCGTCTAGTTTATTTACGTTTATATTCGTTTCGTTTTTTGACGATTTTATTTTTATTTCTGTTTAATTTTTGTCTAAAGAACCTAGTGTACGTTAAATTTTGAACCTAATATATTTTATATTCAATAAGGCTAAAACGAAAAGAGTACAAAAGAAACCATATCTGCTTAATTGAATCTGGAAATCTGATTCATAAAATATTTTGAAATTCTGTTTTCAAACCGATTGCTTCTGGAGCATAGAGTTTTTATCGTGGTAGCACCAAATTATAGTTGTATCAAGGATGCAACATAAATGCATCGGCCGAGATTCGATTGACGAGAAAAGGGAGCTAATTATAGTTTTATTAAAAAAACGCGGCACTCATGTACAATACAGAAGTTCTGGATATCGTAGGGTTAATATTATAATGTAAAAGGTCCAATAATAATACAAGTCGACCTTTAGGTAAAATTATGGTATTTTCGCTTAGTATTATTACGATACTATGTACTACAAACTATGAAATAATGGTACAATTAGGATAATTATACTACGAAATCCGGCCCTGGTTACGTCGTGTTTTGATGTGACGTTTGTATTATGACAGATGCGCTACTTTTTCTTGTATGAAAAAGTTATGAGTAAAATATTTAGATGGCCCTGTCCTTTCCCTTGAAATCATTGCTAGTGCCTGAAAGCGCAAAAATAACAGTTCTCAAACGTAATATAAATATACTTTTTGATGATTTAATGATGAATAATTTACGTCGATACATTAGAACCGATGACAAATTAAACTGATATACGTATATTTCGTTCGAATTATTTAATAAGTAAATCTAATTTCAATTTATTAATTATCGTATGTAGTTTTTCTCGAAGACTGGGTCACTGACAGTTTCACTGAAGTGAAGTTTTATTTTAATAAGCACGACAGTATTGTTTTTCTAATTATAATCAGAATAAATGTTTTGTAAAATGTCATGAAGTGTAATGTGGAATTCAAAGATTAAGATATATGATTAAGCTACGTTTTATCCATTGGTTTTACCGGTATCGGATAGGAGTTTTATCTATTATCTATGTAAGTAAAATGTCAATTCAGGAGTTTAGATTGAATATAAAGTCTTTTGGTTTTGGCGGGAACTTGATCGCCATCAGATTTCTGTTCTTGTTTAATCGTCATCAACTGTCCGCTGGATTAAGCTGTCGTCAAAATTCCCTAAAAAATTCGTAATGCCGTTACATTATGAATTTTTTTTTAGGAAATTTTAAAGTATAAAATAAAATAGTCTAAATTATAATATTTTATATTTTTTTTGACTTATCTTTTTAGTCATATTCAAAAGGGAGTTTATTGTAATTTGACAGAACTATTTTTCGTGTATTACGCAATATCTCCATTTTTGTATAAAAATGTATTTATTTGAATAGTAAGTCCTCAAAAGTGTCTAAAAATTTAAACTTTTATAAAAAGTTTAATTATTAAATTTTATTTATCTATTTCATCCAGGGTTGACTGGTAGAGAATTCCCTAAGGCATTAATTCCAAACACTTAATTTAAGGTGTATTACCATAAAGATTAACCTTCGGCATACAAGGTGAAAAAAAAACCAAGTTTAAGTACAACGTGGAGTTAAAATAACCTTTAGTAAATATACTATGTATTAAGGGTATTATTTAAATACAACGGCTTAGATAGGGTTTTTGGCTTAATTAGTTATAAAGTAATAATTAAAACGCAAAATAATGAAGAAAATAAACTTCAATTATAAAAAAGAACACAAAATACAAAAGTTCTCCTAAAATTCAACGATTTTTCCTTATATCTAAAAAAAAAACACATGGGTCTTTTATATTAATAGGAGCTTTTAGTCTAAGCCAATAAATATTATAAAACTAGAAATATGTAACATTATAATAAATATGGAAAAATTAAGTTTCTCTATTCTAGCAAGATCATTCGTTATCGAAATCAGTACAATTTTGGCACATCAGATTTGCGTGTTCCTTACATATTGCAACATTGCATTTGAAACAACCGTTACACGTCTTCCTATCTTTATTTCTTGGACAAAAAGAACACCTTTGCGACTTCCTTGGTTGCTTTTGTGGCGGACCTGGAACCTCTTCATCCAAAATTTGGTGCACACGTTTTCTAATATCTCGAGGAACATGAGGATTGTCTTTTCTTTTTCTTAGATGATCTTCCAGCAATGAAAATCCCAATTGCTTGATAAAGTTCCTCCTTATGTTGCTTTTCTTCTTCTCAATCTCGTTGTTGAATATATGTACTATAAAAGAATTTATATTTGCATGATTCAGCAAGGAGAAAAACAGCGTAAGTGGCCAGCGTTTACTGTTGCGGGAAACATCGTATGTTCTTGAAAGCTTGTCAACTATATTGAGTCCATTTTTTGTCGAGTTGTAAAACGTTATAATAGATGGTTTTCTTTGGGTCGCTTTTATCTATTTCTCATCTGTGCAATGAGGACATCATATGTACACACTTTCGTGGTTTAGGTATATAAGACACAATGGTTATGTATTTTTGAAAACCAAATATCGACGATTTTTCTTCACATCTGGCTTTGAATTGGGTTGGAAGGCACGCCTTGTTTGACCGTAGGGTACCAACAGCAGTAAATTTGTTGGTACCCTACGGTTTTGAAGTAAATTTTCAGCAGTTTCGAAGTTATATTTCTTCCAGATACAGGCACACATCTAACTAAACGGTCTACAACATCGAATGGTTTGTTACTCACTGCGTAAGGGCTGCTGTCAAGCTATTTATCACAGTAAATTGTTGATGCGTCATCAAATCTCAAGTTATTTACCAAGAACGTAAATCTCTGTCTAGTCATAGTATTTCTAAATATTTCGATACCAGTGCCATCATTAGCCCATAAATCTATAAAACTTTATCTGTTAGATCTATATAAACCTGCCAGTATGAAGTATGTCTTCAAGTAAAGCCGCTGCAATATCATCATCTTGCATCATATTTGCCATCTTAATTAAACTCTAACTGTAACAAAACACAAACTACGTAAATATAATCAAAATAAGGTTGAAAATAACAAAGAAACATAAAACTGCATACATACCTTTTCAGTACTGTCCCATACAACGTGGGGTTAAAACACCGGGACCCGCTATACGCGCGTGCACACACGAGCGCGTTCCCCGCAGCACTGATCCAAGGTCACGAGTCACGAGTCGACGCGGCAACTTTTAACGCCCAGCTACTGGGAATTACAATTTAATAATCGAGCAATAAATTTCAATGTTATTGCTCGATTATTACTTACAAGTCGATGTATTTTTCTGGAGCTGGGGTTAAAAATACCCCATGTTGTATGCCGAAGGTTAAATAAATAAAAAAATCGATTTAGCACATAAACCTGCAGTATTGGATCGGTGTGACATGATATTTCAGACAGCAAAATGTCACCGTGTAGTGCACAAGTGCCTTTAGTACCAATCTACCCATAATTTATCAATCCAACCGGTGCTTGTGTCGTACCGTAACGTATCGTACCGGCCGTATTAGTTGTGGTTATTAAAGCGTAAAGCCACAGAACAGGATATATTAATTACTACGACATTACTGGTTAGGAGCGATTCTCATTATAATGCCGTTCACAGTTCTTTCTCGGTCTGATATTATCCGTAACAGTCAAGTTTCGCTCGAATCCAGTTTACGGTCAGTTTAGACTTTACCAGACCGAGATCGTACCGAGAACGACTTGCGAATGGCAAATGAGTATCAGCCCTTACTGTGAATAAAACATTGTGACTATACATCTACTCTACATTCAACCAAAGATATTGTATAATATATGATATCTTTGTATTCTATTCTACATATTTATTTATCTATGACCGTAATAGTGATGTCAATGTCAAAGGGTTTTGGCGGGAACTTTTCCGTAGACGGATTATCGCTCCTGTTTAGTCACTTAAATAATGGTTTGAAGTGGATTTTGATTCATAAAAGTGATGCGATTTTATGAATTAAGTGTCCGCGCGTCTGAAGTATTAGAGAAAACGACAAAACAAGTGCTTTGATGTCGATATAAACCTCAAGTTATTTTGATCGCTTGGGCGTCTCATGAACTTGAGTGGCTGTCATCATTAATTGTCTGATGGGTTGAGCTGTCGTCAAAATCTCCCAAGAGCAGCATATTGTGAAGAAAAAGAATATAAAAATTAAGATTCCAAAAGAAATGATAGGCTCAGAAGGGCTAGAACCCAGAGCCGTAAAGCCAGTTAATAAAAAAATGTCAATGTCAAAATGTCAAATGTCAAGCTCGAGGTGTGTAGTAGAGGTATAGTTGAGGTAGCGGTGGGTAGTAGCGGCTTTTTTGAGTAACGAAACGAAACTATCTATCGAATATCAATAGCGGCTTTTGAAACACTCTATTTTAATAGAGGGTTTTGAAACACTATTTTAATAGCGGCTTCAATAGTGTTTCACGACGTGTTTATTTGAAAAACGTTGCGAATTAAACGATGTCTGTTTCACGAGAAAACTTGTTTGTTACCGTTTTGTATAGAATTAGACATGGTGTTAACGGTTAAATTTATTTATTTGTTTAATCATTTCGCACGGTTTGATAAAAATATCACTTGAAAAGATTTAACGGCAAACGATTTATTTAATAATTATGATTATGATAAATTCACCCACAAGTTCAGCATAAAATATTGAATATAAGTTTGATTTTATAGCAAATAATTATTACAATGCTTATTTTTAGACATCTCAAGCCTACATTTTTATGTAATAAATCAAATTAATACATGTATTGATGTTTTTATAGAATATTGGTCTTCATGGTTGTAGTATCTTTTGTAAAAAAGTCCCAAAGTACACTGGCATTACTTCGAGATATTTTTGATGACTATCACATAAAGTTTTAGTATTATTTTTACACTTAGTTAATTACACTAATTACTGTACAATTATTATTATTAACCCTAATATATACAATTGTATTTAGTTCTTATTTTACTAAAAATATTATTATTATTGCACAAAAAGAAAACAAAAATATTAACAAACGCGCCTAAAAAGTAAAAACAAACCGTGTCATTAAACTTAAATACAAGACTAATTTAAACCGGGCCAAGGTCACTTAAATTATGGAATTTGAACAATTTTTTTTCACACTTACTTCTCATTTCTAATATCGCATCTATACGAAGGGAATAGAGTCATAGGTCAAATGCAAAAGCACCCGCGCTCACTCGACATTCGACGACCGGTGGTACTTCTACCACAGCGGAAAGAGTCAGTTTCTTTACTCATGTGCTTCTACTTCAACAGACGAGGCCGTTGCCGATGCGTCGCGAAAATAGCCGAATAAACGTTTTCGCCGCCGATCGTACGCCGATCGCTCGTTCGTGATTCGTGAAACATGAATCGTGTTACTGAGTAAAACGTCTACTGTAATAGATAGTTTCGTTGCACTGCAATAACCCGCTACCCGCTATTGTGTGAATAGATAGTTTCAGTAACTAGTTACGTTTTGTAACGACAACTCCTATTGAGGTATAGAGAGGTATATAGAGAGGTACTACTGGGTACTACCTCCATGATTATAGGCATAGGCATTAGGTATATGTAAAGCATTCTGTGATAGAATAAATTCGTAAATTTATCAAAATTTATATTACGTGATTAGAAAATGCATATTATGTATAAAGTTTTAAATTTTTTTATTCTTTTTACACTGCTTTATATGCAAAAATGTGCAGCGGAATTTTCAACTGAGGATTGTGCTTCCCTTGGATTTATTAAAGCTAACCTGCTTTGCTCTTCATGCGACCAGCTTAAAGATTTTAGTTTAGACCAATTGGTTGAACATTGTAAGGAATGCTGCCATAACGACGACAGTGCACCTAAGGAGAAAAAATACGCTCGTGCAATACTGGAAGTTTGTACCTGCAAGTTCCCAGCTTATCCGCAAATTCAAGCATTTGTAAAGAGTGACCGGCCGACTAAATTCCCCAACTTGCAAATTAAGTATGTACGTGGATTAGATCCTATAATCAAACTCCTAGATAAAGATGGTATTGTCAAAGATACTGTAGCTATTGAAAAATGGAATACTGACTCGGTAGAAGAATTTTTAAATACGCATCTTGAGAAAGAAGAAGATGATGATCGTAGATATTTAAAAACTAACCAAATATAAGGTATCTAAAGAGAATCTTTAACAGCCTTATTGTAATCTATATCCATGTATTTTCAACAACAAAGATCAATTTTTTCAACGTACTATTTAATCAAAAATTATTTCGAACTTACAAGAGATTTGTGGCAATCTGCACATGAGAAACATCGCCTGTGCCATGTGCCATTTTTGGAGTGCATTTGTTCAGCAGCATAGACTGGGAAGCCACAGCGTGGGCAGCCCTGGCCTTTAGCTGCTTTTTGACCAGTGAATGGAAACTGTTCAGTGCTGCAAATAAAAATAAGTATATTTCAATTCTGGTAATTTTAATTGTATTTTTCATAGTAGGTATTTTACAATATAAAAAATGAAATAAATCTGTATATATGAAATAAACTAAGAACATTTATTTTTATTGTACCAATAGTAACAATCATGATTAACTAAAAAAATAAATAATACTATCCTTGCATATTATTAATTTTTAATTTGTACTTATTTCAATTTTCAAAAAAATTTATAATGTTTGTTTATTTTTCATGAAATATTGCTTATACTTTCTAAGCTTATTGATTGTCATATTTAGTTACATACTAACCAAAAAAACTAGTTATTTTTATTTATTGCATTAAAATGTCCCAATGGAAAAGTTTATTGAAAACTTGTAAGAAATTTCTTACAAGTTTTCTATAAATTTTTTCCATTTTAAAAAGATTTATTCCATTAATTAAAGTTTCATATGTACCTATATCATTTTAAAAATTTACTTACTATCTGTTAGTAACATCAGTATCTGTTGATACAAGTGTTGGGGCATGACCATAACCAAAGCCTCTTGGTCCAAACAGCTTCGCATAACATGCACGGCAATGGATGTCCTTGTCAGGGCCATCGCAAGCCAGCATGGAGTCCAGTGGACGATGGCACTCAGCACAGTTGAAACATTTCTTGTGCCACATCTATGTAAAATGAGATAGATATATTGATTGTAAAATAAACATGGTTGATTATCATATTATAATAAGATTAACAATTATGTAAGGAATTTATTGTTTGAAGAATGTTTTACTTTGAGATCAATATGTGCTGAATAGCAGGTCCTTGATTCAAAACATAGCTATAACTAAATTATTTAAAACAAAATTTGTTGGTTTTAAGTCTAGGGGACACCTGAACTCTTAGACGGGACATATACATATAAGGCTGTAACTTTGCTTTTATAGTTTATTGTATTCAAAAGCAAAGCTCAGATCAATGGCATAAGTAAGAAATATATTAAAAGGTCTGAAGTTTGGCTAAAGTATCCAAGTCTACCTCTGATTTATATGCATAAATATTACTTTAGATACAGGTTATTTAGTTATTACGGATATGACATGATCCGTAGGTAGTTTTTAAATTAAAATTATGATGTGTGCATTTCAACAAATTAAGAAACTTACAGAACAAAGTGGTTGTGTTAGTCATATAGTACTAGATTTCACTTCATAATGTTGGCATACATCTTTGATGTGGTTATTTTTATATAAAATGAAAGTATTTCATTACTTACAGTTCCCTTAGCCAATTGTTGCTCAGCAGCAAACACCATGCCACCGCATCGTGGGCAGCCTTGGCCCTTCGGCGCTTTAATGCTGGTCGTATCTGGGTTGTAGTATGGGCGGTTTGCAGAGATCTCTTCCTCACTGTTATAAAAATAAGTATTTAAGGAAGAACCAGTCTGAAGTCAATTAGCTACAACTACAATATCTTATTTTTCTATAAAAATAATGTGTTCAAAAAAATTTTTACATTTTGTAAACTTTTTTTAAACATTATCCACAGTGGTATAGTAGTGTCATAACACAGTATAACGTCTATTTTTACAAAAAAATTCTGTTTTGATCCACTTTAATGAGAATACTACCACAAGATAAATAATAGTACTTGCAACTACTATATTGACTTATATAATAATGATGATGCAGTGATTTAGATTAAAATAAATAATAATGTAAAATGAACATAATTTATGTTGAATTGTAATGTTCCCAAAACTAAATAATTACATTTATCTTAATTTTTTTTATAAGATAGGGTGACAAACGAGCACACAGTCCACCTGATGGTAAGTGGTTGATGTGGCTTAAAGACATCTACATATATCCTCGATTACAAATCATAATGCAGATGCGTTGTCAACCGTGAGGACTAAGATGGAATGCCTTGTTTCCAGTAAAAAGGTTCTCCGGTTCTCTACACTCATCACACAAAACACAGCAGCATTAAGCTACTATTTCACGCTGGTATTCTGTGAGAGCGTGGTCCTTCCCTGGTCGAGCCAACCCATTCATGCTACGACTATACTACTAATATAACTGCAGCATGGCTCTACCATGTATAAGGCGTATTATAACAAATGTAACGTAATATGTGAATTTCGGTCATGGCAACCACTCTCAATGGAATCTCGCCGTCTGCGCAGGACAGTATTCTAGTGCCCTAGTGTGTGCGCAAGCACAGATTTCGTGCCGACACGCCTGCGGGCAGATCAACCAGCTTTCTGTGGCACGCGGGTGAAACACCGCCAACTTCCTAGCTTCAGGCTGCTACTGCGAATTTCTTGACAGGAAAACCCAACAGCATATTTGACCATACCCGGAATTTAACCCCGTGACCTCATTGACAGCAATCATGCTTACGATCACTAAACCAACGAGGCAGTCACATTTACACACATAGGTACATAACAAAGTACAATATGACTTACGTCAAGCCGTCAGTTTGTAAGAATCCAGAGCCGCATGCAAATCCATAGCCGTGGGGGCCCCACTTCTTGCCATAGCAGGTCTTGCAGTATACATCAGAGTCTGGACCGTCGCAGGCGATAATTGAGTCAAGAGTCTTCGAGCAGTCGTGGCACTTGAAGCACTTACGATGCCATTCACGACCCTTAGCCAAGACCTGTTCTGCTGCGTAAACGACGCCACCGCATCTTGGGCACCCTTTGCCCGGTGGAGCTTTGATTATAGCAGTATCTATCACCGTGGTTTTAGGCGTGTAGTCCCTACAAGGTATAGAATTATAATAATATATTAAAAAAGAATTTCTAAAGTAGATGCAGCATGATTCTAAAGTACATGCATAGTGAAGTATAAATTCGAGTATATATAATACAACACCTTTGTCTTGTGTGTGTTTGTCCCTAAACAATAACTAAAATTTATAAAACTAGGATATATCTACACACCTAACCATGTATCGTAAATTTTTTATAATTTGTTTAGACATTCTGTCGTCAGTATTGAAAGTAAAAGTACTTTTCACAGTTCGCATTGTAGTATAGTCATTTGGTAGTATTACATGGAAAGTTTTCCGTCAGGTTTGAAAATTGTATATTTTATAGATTTCGATGTGCTCTTTCCCAATTTCTATTTAGCTATCGTATCTTTGCCGCTCGCGCCGCCATACTATGAAAATGGCACCTTATGACAGTTTGTATACGTACATTATTTCCTTTCAGACAAATTTTACGATAAATACATTTATACAATAAATGAAACTAAAGAAAGTTTCCTATATTTAATGTAAAACCTTTTATTTTTTGTAAAATCAATAGTTTTAGCGTATGGGCGCCGCGGTCTACTTCAACACGCGTTTTAGCCAAAAAACTTAATTTCCACACCACCATGAAGTAGAGTAAGTGGGGCGGTTTTTTACCGTGTTATCCCCAGTTGGCCTAATTTACATGCAATGCACTATACTTTAAGATGACATCATCCCAAAAAAGTACAATATAACTGACTGACTGCTCTTGAGAGAAATTATCTAATGAAGGATAGTTTGTCTCGTAGACCGAATATCCTCTATTTTCAAAATTCCTTGAAAAACTTCTTTTTTCAGCACCAAATGACTGTAGGTATTATGTCAAAAGTATTTAAAATGGTGTGTTAACTTTTTTTACTTTTAACTTCTTTTGCGGTAACAGTTTTGTTGTCTTAACTATTTATAATTATTTCTTGACATAATATGTTTATCATAAGTTCCTTATCACTTAACTTATGTATACTGTAACTTATATACACCTATAAATTACAGTATAAAATAATATGATATTATTATTTAGTAAAGTTAATTTGGATTTGTCTTAATAGATTATTTGCGACCGAGTCTATTTATGGATAACGTCTTAAAAGAGATATTAAGTAAATGTTATGCAAGTATTAGAATGTCATAATATAAATAAAACACCTTAATTGAATCGGAGCACAGTTGTATGGTTCGTCTTTCTTGCCTGCTATAAATTAGAGCGAGAGAATGTTCTATTTTGAAACTGGCACGCTGCCATAACTTGTTTGTATTATAAGCTGTTTTTATGAAAGTGACTATACGATGGAAATAATCTAAACCTGTCTTGTAATATGAGAACTTCAACACCTAATAAGTGGCTTGTGGAAAACCAGAAGCCAGGCTTTCAGTATGAAGTCATTATGGAAAGAAAATTGATATGTACACGGTGTGATGGTGTGATGTCTTGCTGAAACGCGAACTATGATCTTAAAACATTTTTCTTTTGTTTATTACATATTTTGTAAAAAAATCTCAAAATATATTATAAGAAATATAAGTTTCATTATCTACTAATTGGTACTTTTAAACGCTTGGTACTTTTAATTTACGGGCGTTGTCTATTTTTCAGTTATATAAGTATTACCAGAGATAGAACATTAAATATTTAAAATGGGTACTTACCCATTAGCGTAAGGATCGCTTTGCAGAACGCCGGCTCCTTTTCCGTAACCATATCCCTTAGGACCAAACTTCTTTGCATAACATACTATGGAAAAAACATTTTGTTAAATCGACGATAAACTTTATATGAGTGAAAAAATGTTGAATAAAAATTGTAGCTGTACATTCTTGTTTAAACGTCTTATTTATTTAGCCTCGAACACGTAAAATTATATTTTTGTTTTTAAGTATTTTTTATGCAAGGACTAGAAAATGAAGGAACGAACCTTTGCAGTAAATATCTTTGTCTGGCCCCTCGCAACAGTTTGTGGAGTCCAGCCGTTTTAAGCAGTCGCCGCATTTGAAGCACTCCTTGTGCCACGCCTGAACACACAGTGAACAATGAGGGTATGTAGGATGAGCCATGCAAGAAAAAAACTAGGGACAAACTGTTATCACAATGACACCGACGGTTAAAGCACGTACTGCTTTACATATGGGATACTTGAGAAGTCAAAGTTTAAATACCTTGACAATATATCTCGTTATCTGGCCCATCACAATGCGTCATTGAATCAAGGATCTTGTGGCAATTTAAGCATTTGAAGCAGTGCTTGTGATAGCCCTACGATACAACATTTTTGTTTATTTTCGTGTTATATGCTTCTTGTATAAAGGTAATGTTATATAAGGAGTTTTTATTGTTTATAATTAAGACACAACATAAATAACGTGCCCCAACATTCCATCGGCTTAGTCGTGGAAGCTGGCGATTAATTTTTGGAAAGTATTTAAGAGTAAGTTAAGATTATGCGATAGAAAACTCACCCTTCCGCGAGCTAACATTTGCTCGGCGGCATACACGCAGCCGCCGCAGCGTGGGCAGCCCTCTCCGGGTGGGGCCTTCGCAATAACACGAGGTTCTAAACAGGCTCCATTGGTCCTTACGCCCCTGCACATATGGCTCGTGTTATTCGCTGCTCGACAGTAGCCCGACCGAGCAACGATGACAGTAGATATGTTAAAAGCAATCGGGCGTCGGAGCTCTCCAATCACCCCTATTAAATAGCCCACACAGATCTCGGCGAAGCGATTGTCGGCGGCGCACCTCCGCCGTAATGGGAGAAGGTAAGGCTCCCGGCCGCCCGCTCCGCACCGGCTCGCTATACAGGTTACACATATCGACATAGAGGGCGCTTTCCTTATCCCATCACATTCATTAGTTCCGATTAAAGCTAAGACAAGCGTTAGCTGGTTGTTAGCGAGGGTCAGTAATGCAGAAAGTTACGAGATAGAAAACAGTGTCACGAAACAGTGTCATGCCTTAGGGTGCGTCTGGAGCGTAGCGAAGCCGTGCTGACTCTTACAAAATGGTTTTCTCACCGTTGCTTCGCTGCGTATGGCCGCTCAGATAGGGAAGGGGATAGTCAGAGCTAGAGCGCGCACGAGCCGGCGTGAGCGTATTCTCGTGCCCGCACCGGCACGGTCGCACTCCGTCTCATTAATGCAACTAACTCAGTATTGGTGGTCGACTCTTTTATTTATTTTATATAAATTATAAATATTAGACCGATAAACAAAATAAATTAAGCGATAGCGAATAAATAATCCTAACTAAAGTATTTTAAGGTACAATGGGCGTTCACGAGGCGTCGCTGGTTGGCCGAGATGTGTGTCGGCGACCTGCTAGCTCTGCTGGACGGCTGCTCGCGCTCAATTCCTGTTGCGACATAAACGGAGACTGGTCATGCACGTGTCAGGCAACGCGAAATTTACAGCCGAGCGCGCGCTTACTATATTCTAAAGTTTATATACACGCTGTTAATGTTGTTATGTACGGGCCCAAAGGCCGGTCTTTGTGTCGACCATAGATAAGGAAAGACCCTCAGTGGCGCGGGCGGCGGGAGTGCGAGGAAATTATGTACTTACGCATTTTCGCCCTTCAGGTGGTCACCGGTGTCCATGGATAGACATCCTGCACCACCGCCGAAACCGTATCCTTTAGGTCCGAACTTGCGAGCGTGACAATTTTTGCAGAAAAGTTCGCCTTCGTGTTCCGTGCAGTTGGTCGAATCCAGGAACTTCTGGCACAGGCCTAAAATATAAAACGACATTTAAAACTAGGTGATTTATTTGTATAATCGTTAATCTGGGAATAAGATATAATATCTAAGGCATTTTCATCATCTTCACCAACATTAGCCACAAGATGCTTTAAAGCGCGGCCCTGAACCACCTGCATCTATCGACTTTTTTCATGTCTTACCAGGTCATCACTCCGTTAGTAGTAGTGAGCCGCGTTATACTTCGCTTACCGGTACGAAGCTGTTGAACCTGGACGGTCCATTGCCACATCAGCTTACTGATGTGTTGGGATAAGTCGTTTACTCTGGTTCTACTGCGTATATCCTCATTACGTACGAAGGCTATCACGCAGAGAAACTCTAAGCATTGCTTTTTCCATAACTCGCTGAGCGACCTTCCCCTCATGACCGAACTACCATCTCAGATTCATATGTCATCATTGACAATACATTAGTGGTAACACGTTTTGGGGTACCTATACTCGTATGTAACAAGAACATCACTTTGCTTAAATCCACTAGATCAAAGAAGAAAGATTATTTTTATCTTGGATTAATTGATAAAAACTAATTTGTAAAATGTTTTGAGCGTTTCAGCCAATGGTCTGATGGAATGTTTACGAATGGAAGAAAACCAATAATGTGCCGTCAGGCGTCACGCGTGATTATTTATATGAAATGCCTCACAGACTGTTATTACGTGGTCGTCACAGCTTCAAACCGAAACAAATCAGTGCAATGCTTTTAGGCCCTGGAATTATTTTTTTATAATTTTCTATGATTTAATAACGTAAAATAATACGAATTCTTGTTTTTAAATTCTGGCAGAGTTTTTGAATTGTTTTGTGACTGTTCCCGTGCCTCTAATATTGCGTCCTGAGGTGGCTGACCTCACGCGAAGAACGAAGATAGATCGTATGCTTTGATATCTGAGAAGTATATAGCTTGCGACATTATTCTGAAGCTATCGCCGTAGTACGTATATTGCTCTTCTTCACCAGTCCGTAAATATTCATCGCTGGACATGAATCGCCACAATATTGGAAACGAATTCACTTAATCACGCTTGGCAGGCGGATAAACGATCGTAGTACAGGCCTTTGACACTGCTGCCCGTCACGTATAACAAAGTGTTAGAATTAGAAGTGGCGTAAACAAAGTGGTATCGGAAGCTATAAGACTTTACTGGTATTCCCCATGAACGCCTTTTACAACACCCACAGGACCAAATGGGATTGTAATTATGGATTATTTTACGTTGCCACCACACGGTTTAGTATTTAACCTGTATAATATATTAGAGTATAATATACTTATACATCCTATATAGCTGGAAGTGCTGCTTAAAACTGTCATACAGCTTTGGTATATAGGGCAATTTTATAACTAAAAATATTTTCTCATCAAGATTTCTCCAATAAGGCGGAATTAAGCTGGAGTCAAAATTACGTAGATGTTTTTAATAATTATAACTTTGAAAAAGTAAAAACCGACTTCAAATTGCTTTTCAAAAATTGCAAAAAGAAGTTATTAATTTGCAACCCTTAGGGGTGGAATTCGATTTCTAAAAAATCGATATTTTTTCGATTTACTTTCAAAGTTTATATTTACAATATCAAAAGATAACAAAGTACTGATTATAAAGTAACTTATTTTTATTTCTTTAATCCGTTAAGAAACTGAGCACACAGCAGTTTTGCAGGTTTTTAATAGAAAAACTGTCATTCGTTACGAGTTTGGGTACATTCAACTAATTGTAAATCATTTTATAGTTCTTATTAAAACAGAAAAAGATTCGAACTCAATGTTCCAATGTGAAATATCGATTCACTGGATCGATTTAAAAAATCGATCTTTTTGCAACAAAAACCGATTCTTCGATTAACTGATCTCAGATCGACTTGCCTATGGTGGTTCCATTCCTCATCCCTTGAAGTATAAACTATTTAAGAATAAATAATAATTAAAATCGGTATCTACATATAAAATTCCTTAAACAATAGTACAATATGAAACTTCTCCTATTTTTCACCCTTGGGGCTGAATTTTTTCTTCAAAATTTAATGGGACCACCCTTGAGGTAAAACCTATTTAATAAAAAAAATATTAAAATCGGTTCACAATCTGCGAAGATATCGGGTAACATACATAAAAAAACACACTCGATTGAGTACCTCCTACTTTTTGAAGTCAGTTAAAATTATACAATTTAAGAAAGCATCCCAACGAAAGTAGTTTAATGTTTTGGGGTACGAACTGCCAATCTATTAAGTTTTGAGTTTGAATCATAATAATTTTGGCCACGGCGGCCTGCCTCAACGGAGGCTAGCCATCGGCGCAGGACAGGATTATGGTGCCCAAGTGTATGCGCAAGCACAGGTGCACTCTCTATTCCCTCACTCTCATAATCCAATGGAACGGTAAACCGACACGACTGGAGAGAGATCAGGCGCAGGACCAACGGCTTTACGTGGTTTCCGAGGCACGGGGGTGAGACACCGCCAACTGCCTGATTCCGGGCAGCTACCAGTTACTGAGAATTTCTTGACGGAAAACTCAATAATTGATTTTGTTGGCCCGACTCGGGATTCGAACCCAGGACCTCAGGAGTCGCACTACTACAACCACAAGACCAACGAGGCAGTCAGACAATTTTGGTTTATGCATATACTATTATACAAAGTATATGTAGGTATACTGACCGCATTTGAAACACATCTTGTGAAATTTGAGTCCGCCTGCGACACGTTCTTCCGCCGCATAGACGGACTTGCCGCATTTCGGACACTTCGGGTTGTCTGCAGGTTTGAAAGGCATTGTGCTCGCTTAACTTATCCTGCAAACAATGAACGTTAACATTATTAACTTGACGGCTACTTTTAAGTAGTTTTATTTTATTTTAATCTAGTTCCCCATTTTAGGTTTTCAACTTTATTCGAGGAGGATATATTATAGTCGCTCATGTGTGTAGGCAACTTGATAGTGATCCTTGGCACAGACTTAAGGTCGCCTTTCTCAAAGAAAGCACTATATCGTTCTACCACAATGAAGCTATTTCGCAAGACACTATTTTATGGAAATATACACAACGCGATGTTATCGTCTAAAGCTCTGACATAATACGTTATATTTAACGCATCGCCAGTTGGCAGAAATCCAAGTCGCCTGAATCACGTCAATTGCCTCCGAACTGACACTATTTCTCAATAAACACATGTTACCGGGCGTTGTGTTAGTTACGCTGGCTCCTTCCGAATGCTACGAAAATTTCAGAGACCGTTACAGCACAGGGCGGGCGGCGCGTGGGCCGATGCTCCGGCGCTCCTAATTTGGGACGTCCAGGTAAAGTTACGCTACTGGAACTGCAATGCACTTCTATTTATAGATCGCATGAGGAAGAAGCCACCGATTCACTCGCGATTTTGTTATGATAATGGATTCGATAACACTTTCACCACCTGTTCGTCGAGTCGCTACGAGAGTCGGGCTCCCGGACGCGTTTACAGTACAGGGCGTTGGTGCCTAGACTGCGGTGCGCGGAGGTCGAATGATACGCGAGGGCTGAGCGCCAGCGTAGTCTATACGCTGGTTGCACACGGCCCTAGTGGGGGGGAGAGCGGCCGCCCTCGCCACCGCCTGCGCGCACCCTAGCAGACCCAGCATCCTGTACGCTGGAACTTTGCATGTACAAACCATCCTCCAGAATCGGGAATCAAGTTTATGTCATATTATATAATATCTGATTTAGGTATATATGTATATATGGATATGAAGTATCTATTGTGATCTAAGTCATAAGTAATGATGATGATCTTGAAGAAGACATTCGCATTTACATAAGTTCAAACAATTTGTATTGTTGTATACAGTTTATTTACTCTATATTATTTAAATGTGGCGGTGTGGCGGGCAATACATTTGTTTATATTATATTCAATATTGATTGATTTATAGCAAACGTAACGGATATTTAGATTATATATTACTATTCAAAACATCACCACGGTATAGGAATATTTTAATAACATTGACAAACTAAAAAAGTACTGGTCACTTTAAAATATTTTTATCAAATTTTTTGTCATTTAAAACCCCAGATTGATTCCAAATTTAAATAAAAAAAAAAAATTGTGTTGCCAGTGAAAATTGAGTTGAACTATAGAATTTTGAACTCAGAGTAATTGGTTTTTTTTTTCAAAACCTATTTTTAAACGTCTTTAACACCCTCAAGAATTTCATATATAGGTACCAAGGTGTAACCAATTATGGCGTGGACAGAAGGTCGTTTTGCTAGAAGAACGGACCTCGTTTAGATACAGGGCACTATAACGGTTGAAAAATACCGTAATGAGGTGCTAGAACATATAATCTTGCCACATCGAACATAAATCGGTCAGGGTGGTGGGTAACAGTCTGATATTTATGTGTTATGTATTACACATAACAAATACTGGCCGTACGGCCAAGGTGGTAACAGCCCGGTTGCACGAAGATGATGTCAATCCCTGAATGGCCAGCGCATCCCCAAATTTAAATCCCATTGAGCATGCTTGCGATATGCTCCAAAAAAAAGCTCTGAGGGATTTTCCTGAAAATCTTATGACAGGAGAACATATACGTGGTATAGCCACGCTGCAAGTATTAGTTGCAGCACGAATGGGTTGGTTCGAAGGGGGTAGGACCGTGCTCTCACTGAATACCAATGTAAAATAGCAGCTTAATGTTGCTGTGTTTCGTATGGTGAGTGTAGAGAAACGGAAACCTTTTTTCCTCGAAATAAGGCATTCCATCTTAGTCCTAAGGGATGATAACGCATCTGGTATCATTTTGATTCTTAGATGAGGATAAATGTAGATGTCTATGGGCCACAGCGTCTACTTGCCATTAAGGAAAATGTGTGCTTGTTTGCCATTCTTATTCTATAAAAAATCCATTTTAGTGTAGGACCTGGGACAATATTCCGCAACAGGAGGATCAGTCTATATACCTATATATATATATATAAATGACTGATCCTCCTGTTACTGTATACCTCCTATTCAGGTTGTTGACAAACTCATTCTGAGTGTGCCCAACCTATGTAGATGCGTAATGAATATCATATACCTCTTAATTAATAGCCGCCCAGGTTAAAATTAATGTAAAAGGTTTTAAATTTACTTTTTAATTAAAAATCAAACTTTCATGATGTATAATTATCACACTTTTTTTCAAGCTGCATAAAAATCTTAAAACTCATTTAAAATCAATGTTTATATATATAAAAAGGTAGATTATTAAATAAAGTGTTCTTTGATATATATATATATATATTTATCTAAGAAAACTTGTACTTGACTTATATATAAACATGTCTTAAGAAAATATTGACTCACTCTGGAATTCATGTGTTGTTAAATTATCACTATACTGTATTCATGAGTTTATATGATGTTGTTTTACTGTGAGTTGTCTACATGACATGTACATGCCATGCAGGTCTCGAGCCTTGGGGTATGCCCCCATTGCCCGGATTTTCCTCATGGCCCACGACCATGGGCCAGTCCTGGAAGTCTTTTCTAGGCATGGATGATCACGGCGGATTAATCCGCAGTCAAAATTTTTCCGTAGTCGGTTAAACTAAGGAAAAAAGGAGGTTGTTCGGTAAAAGTCAGAGTTGGCCTATCAGCGGCATTGTGGGTTGTTACTCGACTTTCTAATCGATATAGAGTGGAGTTCTATTAGATATGGTCGCCCGTCCGTGGTGCGCGGTCATGCGCATTGTCCTGCTCCGGCACCCATGATAGGTCACGGCCTTCTCGTACGCGATTTTCTGGCCATTGAGGATCAGCGAAGGTGGTAGGTTTCTGAGACGGCGAGTGAGCAGTGCGGTCGTCTTACGTTGACGACCATCCTCCACTCGTCCAGCCATGGTGGCAACAGGTCCAGCAGACGCTGCATTCTGGCAGTGGCAATATGGGCTCTTCTGGACGAGGTGAAATAGGCGCTATCGTCCACATATAGCGCCAGCTCTACATCGTCCTCCCACTCTTGCAGCCTACCTGCCAGTGTTGGGATGTCGTTAGTGTAAGCCGCGTACAGGACTGGAGACAAGCAGCTGCCCTGTTGAACGCCGGCTCTGATGGATCTTGTTGCGGACTCGGCGTCCTCTACGCAGACGTAGAACTTCCGGTTCCAGGAAAGACGCCACTAGCCGCAACATAGCAAGAGGGACACTGGTCTGTTCATGCAGTTTGTGATGTCCGCAATATCCCATTGTAGAGTCGACCAAGCTCTACCAGGACTCTATTGGGCAGCTGTCGGAGTGCAGCGTTGGTAATCCCATCGTGCTCCGGCGCCTTCCTCGGTTGCAGGCGGGTTACTGTCCTCCGCAGTTCAGCGGGGGAGATGAACCACTCTCCTGCAAGCGGTGGCGCAGGAGACGACAGGAACTCCTGTACACGACTCTCCTTCCGGGCATGAAACTCCATCAACTCCGCACTTGCTGGGTTCGGCATAAATTGCTCCTCGGAGTGCTCAACTAGGATATCCGCTCTGCCCTTGGCATCGTAGCATCGTTCACCCGCGCTGTTGGTCAGCGGGCAAACGGGAGGTCTGGCTTTGATCAACTGTCGGCTCAGTTTGAAGAGCGACGCGTCATGCTCTTCTGCTTTCCATATGCGCCGCTCCCAGGCCTCTCCTGTGTAGGCCTGGACTGCAACCGACAGTTCCTCCGAGAAGGTGTTCAATTGTGTCTAGGGCAGCGAGTACGCGCCCAGAGCTTCCTCAATGCTCTCTTGCGCCTGATCTGCGCGCATATCTCTCGCGGCAGATCGTCTCGCCTTGCAGTTACGATCGATGCGGGACGATCGTAGAGGCCGCATGGAGGGCCTCCTGGATGTTCTTGGTTAATCTGGTTGCAGCGGCCTCTACGTCGTCCGCTGTGCTTATTGGATGGTGGACTGGAGGTCTCCCCTGCAGATGTTGACAGTAGAGCCTCCAGTCGACACGTGTCTTGAATGCTCTGGGCGGCGTAGTCACCGCCTTTAGGCCAAGGGTGATCAGAATCGGGAGGTGCTGTGAGTTCAGGTCGTACAGCACCTCTACCACTATCGGGTAGTTGACGTTCCTAGAGAGCACGATGTCCAATACATCCGGACGTTTCCGTGGATCTGTCGGAACGTGTGTCGGTTCTTCGGGACCTAAAACGTCGTAGTTATATCTCTCCGCATCTTCATAAAGTTCATGACCCGGCGGGTTGATCACTCTGGATCCCCACGCCGGGTGTTTGGCGTTTAGGTCCCCGGCGATGATGGTCGGTGTTTCGCCTTCCATTACCGTCCGGACGTCTGAGGAGCAGAATGGAGTCCCTGGCGGTCGGCTGGGTAGATCCTTAGTTCCTCGCCCGCCGCCTCCATTTTTATACCGATAGAGCGCATTGTATGGTATACAGGTAGTTCCAGTTCTTGATGGACGATGTCCCTCCTCACTAGAACCGCCGTCCCTCTATAGGCGGCCCCTTGAGAAGTGACCTCGTCCCTTCTGTATACACTCGGTTCGGCAGCTTTATTTGCGTCTTAGGGTTTAGCTTCGTCTCTCCCAGCAAGATGACTTGTATGTCCTGTTGTTGGGCGACTGTGCGGAGTTCATGCAGCTTCTGCTGTATTCCGTCCGGGTTCCAATAGAGGAGGCGCAGGTTACTCTCCTCTGTAATGCCGAGCCAGGAGGTTTGCCAGCGCCTTCATGACCGCTGTGATGGGGTCTGTCCCGGCTCTTATGTCGGCCAGGACTTGACTGCCGACTTCGATAGCAATGCCAACCAAACGTTGGATGGCGTCTGATGTCTCGAAGCCGGCTGATGGCATTCTCCTCTCTGAAGGCGTTGGCACTGGTCTCAGGCGTTGGTCTTGCATGTTTTACTGGTGCTGCAGATATTCATGGGCGGCGGCAATCACTTACCATAAGGTGAGTCGTATGCTCGTTTGCCCCCACTCCTATAAAAAAAACGACGGGTTGCATCTGGGAGTGCCGGCAGAAGTGGTAAACTTGAATATTAACGTTGTGAATTTTTGATAGTTTGGTAATGGTTGGGGAATAATTTTGCACTAATTGCTTTAATTATCAGTATAAAAGTATTATCATTTATGTGGTAGAATACAATATTTATTTATTGCGCTATCGTACACAAGCATGACAATTTATATTACATTCGCCGCGCCGTAGAAAGAGAGGGGGATACTTCCTCTCCTACGCCGCGCCGGCTGTCTACTCTCCATCCGTCTCACGAATTTTCGATCAGGTCACGTGTCCTGACGCGAATTTAACATTTTTTACCCATTACAACAAAAGTGTACAACGCCGCTAAAGAAGTTTTCACTTCAAAAAAATTAAAAACTTCTGTACTTGTATTTTTCACTGAACTTCTAAACGGCTGGACTGATTTTGATGAATTGTTTAGTGTGTGTTTGAGTGAGCCCCTGGATGGTTTGAATTCACCAATGGACCCGGTAGGTGGCGCTGTTATCGAGATCCAGAAACCACCCGTGCGAAGCCGGGGCGAATAGCTAGTATATATGATAATG